CGCCTGCACCAGTGCAAGGCCCTCCGGGAGTTGCAGCGGATATTGATCCGGCAAGCTTTATTGCTAGTTTGGACCCACAGCTCCGACAAGTCGTTCTGATGGATTCTGACGATGGTTTGTTGCAAACTCTGCCATCTTACATGATTGCGGAGGCTGGCGTTTATCGCGACGAGGCAAATGGATCTCGAGGCGGTATTGCTGCTCGGGCTCTCAGAACTGCTGCCGCTCAACGCCCTGTCCCACCTCGCAAGGTCCCTCCCCCACGCGACGCTATTCAGCTTCTTGATAAGACTGGCGTAGCGACGCTCGTTCGCCTACTGTTCTTCCCTCACATTCTAAAGAAGAATACGCTTTTCAAGATTTTGGTCAATATCTGCGAAAATAGCAAGACCCGTTCTGAGCTGTTCAATCTTCTTCTCAGTATTCTTCAAAGTGGCCCAGGGGACCTGGCTGCTGTGGACAAGAGCTTCGCGCAAATGACAACTCGTACTCCAAAGTCTGCGGTGCTTCAAACACCTAAAGCCGCTGCCAAGGTGAAAACAGCAGCGGACCTCAGCACACCAGTGGCGATTGGCGGCTTTCAGATCGAAACAGTCCCAGACCTCGTCGTACAGCGTTGCCTAGAAGCCATGACCTACATCGTCAGTTCAAATGAACAGTCGTCGCTATTCTTCTTGACCGAACATGAACTCCCGGCCGGTTTGAGGAAGATGCCTTCCAGGAAGGGTAAAGGTAAAGAGAAACCGATGCCCCAGACACATTTCCCAATTGTACTACTCCTTGGCCTTCTTGATCGACAATCACTCCTCAAAACACCCTCAACAATGGATTCCGTCGTGACGCTCTTGTCGACGGTCACGAAACCTCTGACCAGTCTTAAATCGGATAAGAAGGAGCAGTCAAATGACGCTGCGACAGAGACTTCCACTTCTGCGGCACCTGGTGCACCTGCACCTGCACCGACTACCTCTGAGGATGCTGGGGCCCATGAATCAACTGGTCAGTTTTTATTCATGGCTCCACGTCAAAGTCTGATGTCAATTGACAGCAGCGCCGGCTGAACCTCCTAAGCCCGATGTCCCAGCAGAAGCGCAGACAGATATGAAACCCTTACTTGTTGTCCCCCCGCAAATCCCCCATTCCGTGCTACGTTTGATCGTGAACATTCTTGCGGTCGGAGAATGCTCATCACGCACCTTCCAGCAGTCTCTTGCCTTGATACAAAATCTCTCTCACATTCCTGACGCGCGCGATGTCATCGCGCAGGAGCTTAAAACAAAGGCGCAGGATTGTGGACACACCATTCTTGCTGACCTGGGCGATCTCGTGAATGCCTTGACGAGTTCACGCGATGATGTCTTGGCGTCCTCCGTTGCACCGAAATTCTCGTCACCATCATCAGACCAGACGAAGCTTCTACGGGTCCTAAAGACCATTGACTATATGTATACACCTCGCGTGGTTGGTCCCGTGACAGACGAGACTCGGAAAAGTGAAGATGCTGAGAAGGTGCAGACTATCTACGAATCCTTCCATTTCGCACCTCTTTGGAGACGTCTAGGGGATTGTCTGTCTACGATTGAAGAGAAGCTGGAGCTGGAGCATATGGCGATTGTACTGCTCCCTCTGATCGAGGCACTGATGGTAGTGTGCAAATACGTCGGATCAAAGTCGGCCGCGGCTCGTGCCCTTCGAGCAGCAGCATCTCCCCGGTCTCCAACGACTTCTCGGGAGAGTATGGAAGACCTCTTCGTGTCCTTTACGGATGCGCACCGCAAGGTGCTAAATCTCATGGTCCGCAACAATCCGTCTTTGATGAGCGGCTCATTCTCCTTGCTGGTACATAACCCCCGTGTCCTTGACTTCGACAACAAGCGAAATTATTTCACTCAGCAACTCCACCGTCGCCCGCACCCCCGTGAACATCAGGGCACACTCCAGCTAAACGTACGCCGAGCCAGAGTGTTCGAGGATAGTTTCCAGTACCTTCAGCGCAAGACAGGAGAACAGATCAAGCATGGCAAACTTAGCGTGCGCTTCTATGACGAGGAGGGTGTGGATGCTGGCGGCGTTACTCGAGAATGGTTCCAGATCTTGGCACGTCAGATGTTCGATCCTAATAACGCTCTCTTCCAACCTTGTGCGGCCGACCGTCTCACTTACCAGCCTAACAAGAACTCATGGGTCAATCCCGAGCATTTGTCTTTCTTTAAATTTGTAGGACGCATCATTGGGAAAGCGATTTATGATGGCCGTCTCCTAGACGCCTACTTTGCGAAGAGCATATACAGACAGCTCTTGGGAAAACCCGTGGACTACCGGGACGTCGAGTGGGTTGATCCCGCGTACTATAACTCATTGTGCTGGATTCTGGAAAATGATCCAACACCCCTGGACTTGACGTTCAGCGTGGAAGCGGATGAGGTTTGATCAACTTCCTTGCATTCTACTCGTGGCTAAATTTTCTCAACAGTTTGGTGTGAATCGTATCTTTACTCTAAAGGAGGGCGGGGAGTCAATACCCGTAACGCAGGAGAACAAGCGAGAGTTCGTGCAGCTCTCCGCGAATTTCCGACTATATTCGTCAATCAGCAAACAAATCGAGAATCTTGTGGCGGGCTTCCAGGAGATCATTCCGAATGAGCTTATCACAATCGTAAGTGTGTTTCATGATCAACTATGGCATGCATCCTCACGCATCTTCTCAGTTCAATGAACAAGAGCTCGAGCTACTCATCTCCGGCACCCCTGATATCGACGTAGACGAATGGCGCGCAGCTACCGAGTACAGTGGCTACACAAGCTCTGACCCCGTGATAGTTTGGTGGTGGAGAGCTCTGAAATCCTTCAACCGAGAGGAGCGAGCCAAAGTTCTCAGTTTCGCTACTGGTACCTCGCGGGTACCGCTTGGTGGATTCGTAGATCTACAAGGTGTTCAGGGTGTTCAGAGATTCTCCATTCATCGCGCATATGGAGACCCAGATCGATTGCCACAGGCCCACACTTGTAAGACCCCCCGTACACGGTTATAATCCATTTTCTGACTTTGTCTTCCAGGCTTCAATCAGATCGACTTGCCACAATATTCTTCGTACGAGATGTTGCGACAGCAATTACTACTCGCCATTAACGAGGGCGGGGAAGGATTTGGATTTGCATGATGCAGAGTATCTTGATGGAAAATAGACCATTTGATATTGATCACCAATATGTAGAAACACGCATTGTATATATAAGCATTCGCATATTCCCCAGCACTTTTGTTCTGTTGGCTGTGTCGAACGTTGTACTGTCAGCGGAGCAAGTGACAGTCGGTCAGACCTCAGAGCCGACAACTCCCACGGGAGGACGTCGAGCGCCAGATCCCCCGGTACATCGGTTATGTCAGTTACCGCAACTTCAGGTTCAATGACTTGAACTCAAAATCGTTGTTGCAGCTTTCTCAACCATGCGAGCATATGTGGTGAACGAGTGGGTACATCCGTCTCAGCTCAAGCTTGTCGACAATGCGCCAGAGCCGGAAGCTACAGGGGACGAGATAATCGTAGATGTATACTCGTCAGCTCTAAATTTCTTTGATGTGAGATGCATCGTCTCCAAAATATTTTTGCCAGTTGTTCTCTAACGAATTCTTATACGTTATCAGATATTGCAAGCTCAAGGAAAATACCAAGTCAAGCCTCCATTTCCTTTCACCCTTGGTGCGGAGTTCGCTGGCAAAGTCGCCAAAGGCTCTCCAATTCCAAAAGGTTGTCCCTACAAGCCTGGCGACAGAGTCTTTGGTAATGCACAGGGATGCTTTGCAGATAAAGTGGCTGTCAAATGGCAGGATGCGACTCGGCTTCCGGATAACCTGACTTTCGATCAGGGTGCAGGTGTGTTAAGCCACGAACTACGGTCACTCACCTGAATTTTCACGTGTGTTAGGACTATACATTACATGGCCGACGAGCTATGAAGCTCTGGTTGGTCGTGCAGAGCTCAAGCCAGGTGGCTCCAGTCATCAAGCATGTTTCGCTCATGTGTTGACAATCCGTTCCAGGCGAAACTGTCCTTGTCAATGCGGCTGCCGGCGGTGTTGGTATTGTTGCTGTTCAGTTGGCCAAAGGTTTGTCCCCTTTGAAAGTGGATTTCCGTCTTTGAATTTACCGTATAAATCAGCACTGGGCGCTACAGTCATTGCAGCAGCTGGATCACAGTCTAAACTTGATATTTGCAAGACGTACGGGGGAGCCGATTATACGGTAGACTATACAACAGAGAACTGGCAGAAAGAAGTCTTGCGGATCACGAATGGCAAAGGCGTAGATGTTGTCTATGATCCAGTTGGGCGAATTGCTGGTGAGTGCTGTCTCCGCTGGTAGGGCCCGGGCTATAACACTCTTTTCCGCCAGATTCACTGAAATGCATCGCCTTCAAAGGGAGAGCCCTCGTAATTGGCTTCGCCGCAGGCCAGATCGAGAAGGTATGTGTTGTCTGCTATGTATTCATTACTGCTCACCGAATACGTCTGCAGCTTCCGTTAAACATAGTACTACTAAAGAATATTACTGTCATGGGCCTCCACTGGGGCTTGTATGCCTGTAGGTTTCATATTGCCTCAAGGTTGAACAGAGCCTGATATCTATACAGACAAGGAACCGTCTCGCATTCCCATAGTATGGGAGGAACTGCTAGGGTAAGTTAACATATGCGTTATTCGAGGTCGCTCGCCTGTTAATGACATCAACTCAAGGCTATTCGCTTCTGGTCGCATTAAACCTGTACTGTATGACAAGATCTTCTCCCTGGACGAGGTCACAGTAGGGTTGGATGCACTGGAGAGACGAAAAACGTGGGGGAAGGTGATTGTTCGCATTAAGGACGAGAAGCAGAGGATCGTAGCGAAGCTTTAAGCCTTTAAGCATCCGCTACGTAGTAATGTACTTATGGGTTTGGGGTGCATGGGGTCCTCTTTCCTCAAATGTCTGGATTTTGCTTACTAGATCCCGCTTACCCCCAAACCACGACTGTAATACTTCCTTTCACTCTATATCCAATCATGCAGGCATATGAAGACAATGAGCCCATCGTTCGAATACGCGATTACAAGCAAGACCGAGTGAATTTTATGCTTGAGAATGTCGACCTCGCGTACGCGTAGCAGCTGCATGTGATGAACCTTGCTAAACAAACGCGCAGATTCGCAAATTCTTTTCGACGTGTAGTACAAGCAGACATACCAACCATTGGTTGGTGCTCTTACATACGTGATACTGTGCGTCTTGACTAATTCCCCCTAGCCGTCGACATGGTCGAGATAGAAGCAAATACAACAGTGCTACCCGATGAATTCATAGCACATCGCATTGGAATGGTCCCGTTGGTGAGCGCAAACTGCGATGAAGGCATAAGATACACTCGAGTACGTTACGCGCTTTCACACTTAGTCCATCTCACGATGCTTGTACAGGACTGCCTGTGTCTGTCTGGTTGTCAGTATTGCTCAATAGAGCTAAGACTGGACGTCTCGTGTAATGATAATCGCACAATGGATGTCACTAGCAATCATCTCGAGGTCATACCACCCACCTATATTGATGGAGAAAATCCTGGCGACGAGCTCACGAAAAGGGGAGAAGATTTCGGGCAACCGGTTGGGAAAAGTATGACCTACCTCTTCTGGTGGATTCGTATGCTCACTTTGGCGGCTACTCAGACAAAGCCGATGTACCACCAGTCCTCATTTGCAAGATACGGAAGGGTCAAGAGCTTAAATTACGATGTGTTGCCAAAAAAGTGCGCGGGCACCTTTAGGTGGTTCTCGTTATCTCACAGTTATAACAGGGTATAGCAAAGGAGCACGCGAAGTGGTCACCATGCTCAGCAGTTGCGTTCGAATATGATCCCTATAATAAATTGCGGCACACGACGTATTGGCATGAGGCAGATCCGCGGGCAGAGTGGCCCGTTGGTGAAAACGCGAAGGAAGAAGAGTCGCCAAGAGATGACGAAGTTTTCGACTTCAATGCGAAGCCAAGAAGATTCTATTTTGATGTTGAGACGGACGGGAGCCTTGGGCCCCAGGAAGTGATTATGAAGGTGCGGGACCCGTTATCCGTCCCTCAGTACAGTTAATAAGCTCACTCGTCCTTGCTCCCGCTCCCATGGTACAGGGTCTTGCAGAGTTGCAGACAAAACTTGCAAATCTAATACTTGGTTTGAAGGAAGGAGCAGAGTTACCGACTAGCGGAGATACAGCAGAGGCTGGGGTGAATGGTCATGTCTCCACTGCTGGTGGTTGGGCGCCCCAACCAGGTAGTGGCGGTTGGGGTCAGAGTGCCGTCTCTGGTGCTGGATATGCAAGTCCCGCTGGTGGCGGCTGGACCAGTAGTGGCGGTGGCGGCGGTGGTTGGAGCACTAGCCCAGCACAAAACCCTGGGGGAAATACCAGTGGATGGGCAACAAGTCCTGCGCAAAACGCGGGAGGAGCTCCCAATGCTGGTTGGGGGACGAGTCCAGCTCAACCGTGGGGAGCTTCAAGTCCGAATGCGGCATCCGGGAGCAGTTGGGGGACATCTACTCAACAGGGCTGGAGCAGTCCTACTCAACAAGCCAGTGGATGGAACCTATAATGGGTGTTTACTTTACATATACTTTCTCTGTCAATCGCACCCATTTGACTGATATCTGTGGATGGCCGCAAGACCACGTTAATAGCCATATTTGCCCGTCATTTGAACTGCGCAAATAAGTACTCCACAGTCTGCAGGTGCGTGTCTTGGCGTCTGCTCTCATTCGCCGATCAGTAATTTCTATCAGTCTACTGCTGTTCTGAGTTCGCTGGAATTGGCCTTGGCCTGGGCAAATGGTCGGGACCGCGTCCCGGCTTATCGGAGACAGGTTCCAATATCTTCCTTATCCACGATCATGTCCTTGGAGATTGGCCTATTTAATGATCACTCTGAATACGCTTCTCTTCAGTGACAGTGCCTGAGAGTGTCCCATTTAATGACTGCGGAGGAAGTTCCCACTATAGGATGTCTAAGGAAGTCTTGCAAAAAGGCAGGTTCACTTTGGCCGCCGCGGCTTGTGTGGCAGCGATTATTCTCTTGTTCTCGGGAACTCCGCTGCTTCTGTTCTAAGTTTCGTTCCAATGTAATCTAGAAATCTCCAGCGAGACGACGAATTAATTTTGAAAAGTTCTTGAGAACGGCCATCTTCCTTCGTTCAGCTAACTATGAGCCGAGACTAAACCTCTAGCTAGGAAGGGGATGAACGAGGGCTCATTGCAGTGTTCGAGATAGGACTTTGTCAGTTCCTTGCTGCGTCATTGCCGGCCTTCTTGACTCCCTGATGCGCAGTTCCCGGATAATGCTGTTAACTGCCCCGTTTGCCATCTCCTAGCTCTAACTCCCCGCTTGCTTACATAACTTCTTGCCTACTCCTTATATCTGTGGGCATGCGTTCTATCTGTTCAATAAGCTGACGAGATGCTCGCATACTTACTATATATGATTGCCTGACATCAGTAGCGTGGTCGGCCGATTAAAATCGTTTATCGTTTATTGTTCATCGCACGTTTGCAACCTGTTTCAACACTTCTTCTCTGGAGTTCTCTCATTACGCTCCCTCGCCTCCTGCCGGTCCCCCCCTCCCCATTTCGCTTCAGTAATGTCAGTCTCACTCCAGGGCGGCGTGGAGACAGTGATCGACATCTCGCAAATCCAAGTGGCCCACCAGGTCAATCAGTTTGGACCAGATCTCCTCCTCTCACTTACAGGGTGGTTTCGTAAGACGTGCATTCTTATTACGGACATGCCCGTGGGTGCCCCGGCACTTGGGTACATGTTCTTTCTGGAACATCCATTGGTACACGCACCCCGAATGCTTTGATTCGCGAGATTGTAGGAATCACGTCGAGCACAGACGATGCTGCTGGAAGCGTGTTGGTAGTCGAACACGTGTGAGGAAATAAACCCAAGGTTATGGACTGTGAAGAAGGAGATATGCCGTGGGTCAACGGGATCGTCTAACAGTGACCCTACTTAAGATGCCTGCCATGATGTAAAGAGCAGAACAGTGTATCAGTCTGGGTTCTGGAAATAAAAGATGTGTTGAAATTCGGTGTTCGTTAGGTCGCGAGAATATTCTCACTTGTATCAAGTGACACCCAGTAGACTGGCAATATAGTTTGAATCTAAAGAGAGGAATCTCGTCGCACAAAGAAAAGCGCGGAATCAATAGCGCTATCGGTAAGCACTTTAATCATCGTACCTTCTGGCTCTCAGATAGGAGAGTCAAAGATAACGATCGCGGGGACCTGCGCACTCAAGGTACCACTTCGAAATCGATGTTGGTACGATGGCGCAAAACATCCTTTGGAAATTGGTTGGAAACGGCTATTGTAAGTCTGTTTAACTGGAAGAATTTACGATTGGTTAATCTAAATTCTGTAAATGAAAGTGTCACAGGTGACAAATGATTGCTTGATTAAAGTGGTGATTGATGCTGGCCAAGGAGCTGATCCATATATGACATTGGATACCAAGTCGGTGTGCGATAAGATTTGCTCCGAATTTAGCCTGGGGGTTTGGCAACAATATTTACCTAGTCTATCGAAGATATCAAGTTAAGAGTGCTGAGTTAGACAAGTAGGGACATACTGCTAGTGTTAGCATTGTGCCAGATTGGATGATTGCCGAGTTGCTGTACATACTCACCCCATAGGCTCACGGAACATGCAAATGTTAGTATCACTAGTACTATTAGACTTGTGCCTGAGCGACATCGTCGGACACGCCAAGACAGTACTCACGGTATGGATCGTGAATTGAGCGCGAGATCTTGTATGTGCGGAACCGGTAGTCATAAACGAACGTGATACCATGTGGGGCTTCACATCCATTCGCAGTCTTCTCAAACCGCTAATGCCAGTGCTTCCCTAAAAATGGAACGATATCAATCCTTTCAATTTGCTAGCAACACAAGCAGAGAGGAAATCACCCGTGATATGGCACTTTGTGTCATCATATTGTAACTCTTCATTTGAAAATAGGGTAAGGCGCATCGGAACCTGGTAAAGCATCCTACTCATAAATTCGCTAGCCTTCAAAGGGGTCACAATGACAACATTCGCACTCTGGTCTGCAGTCTACCGGTTGTGCGTGGTGTCTACTACCTCAGTACCTGTTTAATTGTCGAGAAGCGCACTGGGCGCTGCATCTATTATAATACTGTCTATCATGCCCTGAAAAGATTGGCGAGTTAGCTGAGCGGCTGAAAGTATTACGCATACATTACCTTGCTTGACAAGGTTTCTGGGTTGTTTCTGGGAGTCCCCTGGAGGCAGCAACTTTCTTCTCACGTGACCTGAGATTACCAATCACGACTCTCCAGAGAAGGTACCATCTATGTCGTCTAGCCTGGATGTCATCTGGATCCACGAACCGCTTAGTGATTCCCTCTAGCTTATCTTCAATCAAAGCAATTTTGTCTCTTTGCTCATTCAATACTGAATATCATTTCTTTCGTCTTCTCATCCAGTTCTTTCCACCTATCATCCTCTGCCAGTAGCTCCAGACAAGAAGATGATTTCTTGATGTAATAATCCCTGTCATTTCCCCACCCACACCTCTTCCCGAAACACCCCGCAAGAGGCGATAAGTCGATTCCAACGAGCTGGCAATATAACAGATATTGATGCAGGTGGAATTATCTTTGCTACGGTGCTATGCACAATACTTTTTAGTGGTGCGGTTTTAACATTTAGGTGCGGGGCGTCTCTTACTTTATCGTTTTTGCTGACGCAGGCGGTATCTCCGAGTTCCTGAGTTCCTGAATTATCGACGACAACAAAGACACCGCGACAAGCTGCGATAGTGGCGTGATGAAGTGGTTTGCAATTCGGTCCAGCTTAGGTACATGTGAGTAGACCGATGTTCGTTCAGTCCTTGCATTACAAGCAGCGACCCTGCGACACCCCCGTCTTGCGCCGGCAGACGGAAAGACGCGGCAACACTGATTAATTTGCCCCTCTAAATTCAGCACCTGGTAAGCCGAATCATGTGTTCGAATGTCAGGAGTTTCCTCAATAAAAAACCTCTTGATTGACTCGGACGCATGCGGTGCTTTCAAAGCAAGCGCAATTTTCAAACGTCTCAGCGGACGCACTCAAAGTCATTTCAAGGCGTCTACGATGCAAATGAACCCGTAGAGTAAGTATGCCTCAGGAGTCTGGAAGTCTGGACGAGCACGTAACAGCGGGGATCAAAGTAATGTTGCGACGCCGACAAGCCTGGGGGATCATCGATGCATCTGTAGGATCCAGTGTTATCACAACCTGGGGCCTGGGCCGCCTGGTCCATCGGTCCATACATCTGAGCCCGAAAATGGGTTATCGTAGGTGAGCACAGCAAATTAGCCTCCGCTCCGAAGGGACATTCGTACCTTATAAGATAAAATGAACTTCAGCAGTGTCTTGGCGTAATTTGTAACTTGCTAACTTGGGATGTGTCTAACCTTTGTGGAGGCCCGGGCGTCATACGTGACGAGCAAGCCCACACAGCTTTGATAGAATGCGGTAAGTTTGAAATTCATGTTATAGAACAACTCTCACGTCGGATCTCAGTGCAACTTGATATGATCATGGAACTTGTAAGACGCCGTGTGCCTCACCCAACTTGAAAAATCGTACGCACCATAATTTTGCTTGGATACTAAAACACAATTTTAGGTACCGTGTCGGTCGGCGTATAAGGTCGTGAATGGAAAGATAAGACTCTTGATATAATTATTCGAAAGTCAAGACCATTCGACCAATCAGTATTCAACGCTGCAACCGTGACAATGGAAAAAATATCATGCAAACGTACTGCAAGGCTAGAGTCAAACGTCCAATGATCCAATAGCATCAGTGATCCTGAGCGGACAAGTCACGTGAATTGATAATTGGACTTGTAATCAACTTGTAATGATATTTTGTCTACCATGGAGCATCACCCCAACGGACGCAAAACAAAATAATAGGTGAGTTTGACGTTAGCCGGCAGCTCATTACACGGTTAGTTTCGTGGTCGATTTTGAATCTTGCGCCATGGGATCGGCACTGCCATATCGTTATTGCCTGTTGCGATCGATATTGATCTTACCGCTTCGAAGACCCAAGTCACGTACATGTACGTAGGATCCGGGATAGTGCGTCCCGAGTATTGCCATATGAACTGTCAGTACTCAGTACTCAGTTCCGAAAGAGTTAAGTCTTCGGAGCGGACTTAGGTCTTTTCTTGCTCTAATTCGCTTGAAACAGTAACAAGTGCCAAGTGGTTGAAAAGTTAACGTCACATGGTATACAAGCGTACCGTGATTGCATCATGGTGCATGCTCTCACGTCCGAGTTGCTTCCGAGTCCTTTTATGGCCATCCGTGTTCTGATCTTTCCATCTTGATGGGAAGATTAGCGCGGCGCCAATACCATACGAAGTTCTCCTCGTCTGTTTTCCCTGACTAAGACTGACCAGATCAGATCTAGCGTCCTGAGTCCTCGCCTGTATCATTGTGCCGGGTTTCTATTACGATTTGTGTCGATTGTTAAGTTTTTCGGAATGCCAAGCCAAGGCGGTAATGAGCAACTACAAATATCTCCCATCCCATCATCTTCATGGAGCTAGAACCACCCCCCGAATTTTAACATGACTACAGAGCTCAAGGCTATTCGCAAAAAGCGGACCACGGAGGCTAAACCTACTTCTGACGGAGACCATCGCAAGCGTCGACGCAATCGTACAACTCAGTCATGCCTTAATTGCCACACATCCAAGAGAATGGTACGTACGAAACCTAGTACGTCGTCATTCTGAAAATATATTGTGCAACAGTGCGACCGTAAGCGTCCTTGTGGCCGCTGTACACAACTAGGTTTGGTGAGGGTCTGTACATAAAGCGTGTGCTACCAATGTCTAATAGCAAATGTCCTATAGACAGGCCTTTGTGTCTATGAAGTAGACGATCCTTCACAGCGAACCGAAGTTCAAGACGAGGGTTCGCGCCTTCGTCAACGAGTGGCCGAGCTCGAGGGAGTGATACGTGAGGTTTGTATGGCCATATCACAGGAAAGAAGCATTAAGCTCAAATATTCATAACAGTTGAAGAACAAGCCCCATCCTCGCTGGGTTCAAGCGGGCTCGACCCCAGAAGTAGAATTTGAGAGGTGGCATACCCGGTCTCAGTCTCGTTTGACTGCTGAGCAGCAACAGACCGAACAACAAACCAAGACAAAAAGCACATCTTCGTCTAGCGCCTCTCCATCCCGCACTACTTGTTCGATATCAAGCCCTACGGATGAGTCGCATCCGTCTCCTCAGCCCCCATCCCCCTCGCACGCACGTCCTGCCTTGACTTTTCCCCAACCACCTGCCGACTTGACAAACACATCCGCGTCATACTTTCCTTACTTCAGTAACATATCATCTCCCTTGAGCACACCCTCTCCTCCTATAATGACGCCGACAGATGAATACGCGCACACTCAAGCTCTTGTTGTCGGAGAGCAACCACTCGCCGGAGAATTTGACCTTGCTTCTATTTTCATGTCGTATCCGGGTTTGATTGGATGTGAAGATAACCTGGGACATAATGTTATTACCGGTCATCTCGACGATACCTGCCGGTCTAATCATTGCCGCAATATTTCTGCACACAGTCATTGCGGCTGCCTGACCGAAGGATCGAGCTACAATGTAGTGCTTGAGCTTTCTCTTCGCTTGCGTAAAGCGGCGGACATCCTAAGCCGGTCGGCATATCACCATCTTGGATCCAATAATTGTGCCCTTAATCAACGAATTATGGAACTCGACGGTCTTGCTACGTGAGTTTACCCATGGTTACTTTCTGCATCAACTTACCGTCATTCAACAGGACGACACTAGGCAATATTACTACACCACCTAACGATGTCAATCAAACATGTCCTCAACAACATCCGCTCTCTCATAAATTCATTCCATCACCATCTGCTTTTGGTACAGCATCGAGCCGCACTATGCCTGCTTTGTCAGTCTCTCCACAGACTCTGCAAGGAATTCCCTCCTGGGATATATCATCCGTGTCGGATTCATCACCTATTTGCGAAGACTCCTTTATGTCATGGGAGCCTTCGCGACGTGGCTGACTGCAACGGAAATTTAGATTGTAGTTACAATTATTTGATTTTTTCAGCTATTCCTGCTTGCGTGTAGAAGTGGGAACTGCTCCTTGCGTATTGTGACAATTTGGTTGAATGCTGCTAGAGTAGTGGGCATTGTACAATATACTGACGAGCAGTATGATCTCTGTAATTGTATTACATGTCCTTCATATCAAGGCTGTCACGCTCCGATGCATTCACGTTCCGTACATATGAGCTGCACACATCCCACACATTTGTCCCGTGAGACCCCTCCTTACTAATAAAGCAATATTTCTCAAATTCAATGCAGGATTTTCAAAACCTCCTGATAAGCAATCTAGTTGTGAGGAACGCCTTGTATTTAACTTTGACGCTGTTTCAAAGGGGCAGCCGTTAGTTACATTTTATTTAACAACTAGTCTTGCTGACTGGTCAAACTGTCACTCCCACACACTGATTAATCATGTCGCGGGCCGCAAGGAAGTTGCCAAACCTGCGCTTCTTCTGAAGGTAGAATGATCTTAAAAGTGGTTGTGAGGTTCGCGCGAGAAGACGACGATGACAATAATCTTTCTTGAGGACAGAGGTTTGAACATTTTTTATATCAGATTATCTTCATTAGGCCAGACACTTGGGGCTCCATTCAACATGGATCTTCCATCAGTCAGGTATATGTCAAGGAAGCAGGAAGCCTACTTTATCTCGAAGCTTGATAGGCCCCTTAGACTTGGAAAGCATATGTTCCAATCAGAAAGGATGAAACGTTTGTGCTAGAATTAGAAAAGGTATCAGATATCGGCGATTGAGGTCAATTGGCTGTTGAGTCTGGTGTAGACTATTGGTGGACATCTTTGGATGTGTGTAATAACACAAATAACCGAAGCGGAAAAAGGATACACCGTCTTGAGCCGCTCCGAGAAGTCTGGAGGAACAAAGCAAAAAAAATACTGATGCGACAGTTATCACGCTGAGAAGGCCTGGAGCTGTAGTGGGCTGGAACAAATGGCCACACATTGTACGGGTTGAGCGAAAGTATGAGCAGCTGTGCAAAATCAATTTATCTGCTGTATTGCTCTTCTTAATAGTCTAGACCTCGCAAACATACCTAGTAACTTGCTTAAAAGTTAATTCGCTCACTTACTGAGCACTGTGCATACCATAATTACAATGCTTAGTCATCGAGAAGTTTTGGGACTCCGCGATTTTCCTTTGTCACTGTTCGCGCTCAAGCTGCACTCGTCGTTCCTTCCAACGAACCAAGTAAAATCGTACCATCGAACATGGCATCTCACTTGGTGAGCGTCAATAATTTATTATTGCTAGTTATGTATTTGATCACCGTGTAGGCAAACATCTTCGGAACAGAGCAAGATCGTGTAAATTGCTCTTTCTACTACAAGGTACGTTATAATTGACTGTCGCTCACAAGTCGTGCTGATCACAACCAATGGTTAGATTGGTGCTTGCAGACACGGCGACAGATGCTCAAGAAAGCATATAAGGCCACCATTTTCGCAAACAATCTTACTTCCGAACGTGTATCATAATCCCGCCCATGACCCTGTGTGTAAGCTCACTGAGGCTGAGCTACAAGAAGGATTTGATGCCGTGTATGAAGATTTGTATTGCGAATTAGCGAAGTTCGGACATTTGTTGGAATTGCATGTAAGCAACTGTCTTGATCCAACACTTTATAATTTAACTCCGTTAGGTTTGCGACAATGTCGGGGACCATTTAATTGGCAATGTTTACGCTCGGTATGAGTGGGAAACCGAAGCACAGGCTGCTGTAGACAATTTGAACGATCGGTGGTATGCAGGTCGGTCCTGAGATTCTTTTTGACCCGGATATCCACCTAACTTTCGCCTATTAGGACGTCCGCTATATGCGGAACTCTCTCCTGTGACGGACTTCCGGGAAGCGTGTTGTCGCCAAAATGAGAACGGCGAATGTAACCGTGGCGGTTTTTGTAATTTCATGCATCTCCGGCTCGCTTCAAAAGAACTGGTTTCGTCTCTCCGCGCAGGACAAAGACTAGAGAGGAGACTTCACCCTGCCAAAACGGAAGGTGGAGGCGGTGGGTGGGAACCGGGCAGAAGGGAAGGCGGTCGCGGCAGGAGTGCCAGCCCATCCAGAAGAGGCGGAAGTAATGGGGAAGATCGTTGGACAAGAAAGTAGAAGTTTCTACTCCACAAACCTGTGCTCATGCCTTAACGTGGCTTAGCTAGGCGTAGTTAATTGTTCATCTTGTGGACGCGATGTGAACCTAGTTGTACCCCATTTCATCATTGTGGCACCAAAGGCTTCTCACAGAAACGCCTCGAAGGTCAATTTGGTCTCGTGGATCAATGAATCGAATCCCTAGTGAGCAATAGATATGAATAATGTCACATCACCGCTGCCAAGCAAGTACGGAAGCGATAATGCTCTCCGGCGGTATCGTCCAAGAACTGAAGTTGCACGCAACGTAAAGAAAACCGGTATTTGAGAAAGTCGTAATGCTTAGCCTCGAGCCGACCAATCACTACCAGTTAATGACGAATGTATATGACAAATAGTTGAATACAATGAGTCTTGTCATTAAATAACAATTACCGGGTTCCGTGCAAAAATCATACAAGGCATCCGCAGTAAATTTCTCGACCGCCGGGCTTCACTAGATCTGGCCACTGGACCACGAAGCTAGAAGGCGGATAAGTTATTTTCGCTGTAGATAACACGACGATCTCACCGATCGGTAAATTGATAAAGCAGTTTTCCAGAAAGTGAGAGGGACTTGACACGGGCGAAAGACTCAACGTACATCACCCGTGGACTAGGTAGGCCGATAATCTGATTTGGATCAATGTTGCCAAATCACAAATCAACATTATGCAAGCATGCCTTGTAAAAATATAGAACTTACCCTATTCAGAAGAATCGCTGCGCATAAAATGACACACGTTCCCGGGCCATTGAGGATCAGAAGGTCCACAAATGGTTCCCGAAACGCCCCTTTCTTAAACAACGGGCGAACTGAGACAAGATACATACAAGCTAGTAGTGATCTGACCGCATCTGGCGGTGTACTAAGCAACGACTGATGAACGCGACGCGCACGGGGTATAGTCAAGAGCTTATACTGCGGTTGATCCTATTTTAAACGAGTCAGATCCGGGGGGGCTTGAAACGTTTCGACAGATTCCGTACATCAGAGAAAACATGGTAAGTGGCCTTAATGTGCTCCAAAGCAAGGGCTTTTTGTGCGCTAAACGCATCGCCTTCGCTGACTATGTAAGTCCGTGGAGAATAACGACCGAAATCTAGCGCAGAAGCCAACTTCAATGCTTCACTGGTATGCCCCCCTACAATCGACGGGGTCAAGCTGTCCTAGAGGACCAGTAAATAAATGTTTACCTGAACCAAGAAAAATGGCAATGCTGCATGTCCGTGGAGGCCTGGGGTTTTCCGGGGCGAGCCTGACACGTCTGGAAGAAAATATGACAAAAAATAACCTGACACAGAAGAACAAGAGGAGTGACAAGACGATTGTTGCGCAGTTGGACATGGTGCACTTCTAATGCTATTAAAAGCGGTTCCAAGTTGAATACTGCACGTTAACTTCAAACTGGAGGAAAGTTCGAATAGATTTCTGTCAGGCTGAGGAGCAGGGTTGGCAAGATTGTCGAGCCTGAAGCAATAGGCGTTGCCACTCAGCGCTCAGCACGTAAATTACTACACAAGGCCTTACCATTTAAAGCGTGGGAGCACCATGTACTTGGACTGCATGACTTAACTTAAGTCACTGACTATGCCACAAGTGGGAGCAGCTGGAAGGTTGTATTTCATCGGTATCTGATCCTTCAAAATTTCAAAGTTCTTCCCTTCGCATTCCAGAAATCACCTCTGTGCGGCGCTCCGATTATCTCCAACCTGATTTTGAGTTTGTTCTTGGCCTTCTTTCAGGTTTTCTCGAACCTCTTCCCGATATCTGTTCCGTAAGGGCTACAAACTTTCTCTTCTGCGATCCTCTTCCTGACGGTCAGTTCGCTTCAGGTATCTCATCAGGTCCTCTAACCGAGTCGACGTCAGCCGGCGGCATCATGACATCTCCAGTACTACCTCTGATGGATGCCAGACTTGTCGCCGACTTGCGGCAATCAATCCAAGATTGCACAGAGAGAGGGCTATCAATTGCATCCAAATGGTTTTTTTTTCAAGTTGATGGTTGAATCTAGTTGGATGTGACTGACTTCAGAACTTTCCATTTTTTAGGTCTTCTGAATTGTATTACGCCATCCCTTCAAACAAACGTGACGCTTTAATTTCTGAGGGATTTGCTACTTTTTCAACATCTACTCCTGCGCGCTCTCGGTCTCCTAGACCATCGTTGTCCTTTGCGGATCCATCGCCTGCTTCCAGTGCTGCATTATGCATCCCTGTTACTCCTGAAAACCAGGTCCATCTTCCGTCACACTTCCCTGACGCCCGTGCCCAAGAAACCGAGTTAGAAGCACAGGATGAAGCCGCCTTATTCGCTGCTCGAGCGTTTATGACAGCGAAAGAGTTCACAAGAGTTGAATTCACCGTGAAGAATTGCAAGAGTGCTAAAGCACAGTTTATTTACGTGTATGGTTGCTTCTTGGTTTGTCACCAAGCCACGACCTCCAACAACAGCTGACATGTTCATTGAAGGCTGCAGAACGAAAAGCACAGCGAGATTGGTACAGACAAAATAGTGGGTCTATATTCATGGCGCTCTCTATTGCCTTTCGAAACCTATTATTGATAGATACTCGAGGACAACCCCCTGTCCCCATAAATCGTCTGCTTATAACTCTTCTGGACATAGTCAAGAATGCTACAGATCCTTGGCTTCTTTTCCTGTAAGTTTATGGCTGCACGCTCCTCGTGCTGCCTCCATATAATCTTTGTTTCCATTTTCTAGGAAAGCCGTTTTCTTATCCCGTCTCAACCGTCGAGAAGAAGCCATTGAAAGTATCATACGGTCCATCAGCGGCTATCACTGGAACTGGTCGGTATGGACCCTCTTGTACAATTGTGTGGGCGATGGTGACGAGGTTGGTTGAGAGCATGTCAAAGCTTGCCTTTTTTTGATGACCGTTAGTTGACAGCACTTCTTCCGCTGTTGCCCCTTCCTGCAACTCATCCCCTCATTCTAATGTTTCAAATTCGAACGATGAACGAGCTTCACAGTCCATCAGAAAACGAGCTGGCCATGTGCGATCGTCTTCTTGGGGATGACTGTTTCCGTGACAGTGCGTGGGTCATGAGTCTACGGGCATGTGCCTTGTATCATTTGCATGGTCAGTTCTTTGCTTATGAACCAGGGCTCTGTGTAATTATGATAAAAAAAAAGACTTTGGACAGGCGGAAAAACAATTTGAAAAAATCCTGGCCATTGCTCCGCACCGTATCGATGATATTGATGTCTACTCCAACATACTCTATGTCACTGACAATCGGCTGAAGCTTTCTAGGCTAGCGCATGAATTTCTTGAACTCGACAAAGATCGACCGGAAGTTTGCTGCTTGGTTGGTCAGTCATGTTACGAAGCCGCTACTATCCGTATGTGCTAACCTTTGGAATGCAGGGAATCATTACTCTCTCCGCGCAGAGCACGAGAAAGCGGTCAAATACTTCAGACGGGCGACCGAGCTGGACCGAACCTATTTGTCTGCGTGGACGTTGATGGGCCATGAGTACGTTGAGATGAAAAATTCACATGCCGCCATCGAAGCATATCGTCGAGCAGTTGGTATGTAATCCACCGATTCTTGAATCGGTTGAATGCTAATTACATGTCGTCTTTGAGATGTGAATCGGAAGGATTACAGAGCGTGGTATGGTCTTGGCCAGGCTTATGAATTACTAAGTATGCACCGGTATGCGCTGTACTACTATCAACATGCCACTGCTCTCAGGTCAGTTTTCGACACTACCCTATTTATTTTGTGAGAGATTGACATTTTACCAAGGCCATATGATGTCCGTCTGTGGCAAGCCCAAGGTGCTTGTTACGAAGAAATTGGAAGGTCTGTTTTCTTCCCGTTTCTTGGCAAAAGGGCTGCCGATGGAGCTACCATGCCCACAGGCTGAAGGAGGCTGTCGAATGTTTGAAACGTGCTTTACTTGGTGCCGATCCCCGTGAGACTACCATCCACATGAAACTTGCCAAATTACATGAGGAGCTGGAGGACCAAGCGGAGGCCGCGGCATATCACCGACGAGTTGTAGAAATCTGTTGTATTGAAGGTTTGGTTTTCTTCTCTGGCCAAGCTTCCGCCAAGTCACCTTAGTCCTGTAGAGCGGCCTGTCCAAGACTATGCCAAGTCAAGTATATTCGTCGCGCGCCATAACATGGTGATTGCAGGAGGGGATCTGTTACTTGCCAAGGATTACCTAGAACGTGTTGCAAATAGCAATGCTGAGGAGGTTGCTCAAGCGTCTGATTGGCTGAAGAAGCTCAAGTCTGTCCTCATCACACGACCAGCCATCCCGATTACCGAGGAGACTTCTGACCGTTGAACTATCGACGATTAAGTAGTGTACCTATTCTATTATACAAAAAATGGATCGCCCCTCGGAGAGGCTTGCCCTAAATTCTGCCGTTCGCGCGGTCACGAGGATTGTCACAAGGCAAAGCATCACAAACACGACAAAGTCAAGAAAATGTTGAATGCGCAGACCTCTTTTTCTGCGCATAGCTTCTCTCTGAAATCAGTCGAGGAGTCGTCTAACACGGCTACTTGGTCATCAAATGATCCATCACCTCAAAGTTTTTCTTCCTCTTCATTACAGGACCCGGCCTCAGGTCTATCATCTCTACACAGTCCCATTGTAAACGGATCCACCAGTGATGCGGCATCTGGTCTAGTGAGCTATTTGAACAATCGAACGGCCGAGGGCTTGCGTATAATCAGAGAAACCGCGGAGGGGTATGTTTCGAAGATTCATAAAATGGCCTTTACTCATGCTCCGGACAGTTTTGCATCATGCCTCGCTGCTGATCACGCAGTAGTGCTCAATCCTGACGTGGATTCTCCTTTTGTTGATGCAGTGGATGTTGTCCATCGGCTTCTTCCCTTCCACGTCTTCCAACAGCCTCAAGAAGACTTGCGGACCGTCACAGAAAGGAGACGTGCGAAAGGAAAGGGGAAGGCCCATGACGTGATCCGGGATGAGATTGAAGGTAGGAAAACACTGTCTCTTATTTCACGGCTGTGGAGTTTCTTATTTTGCTCGTCATAGACACTAAATTTGCCCTGGAATGTCACCGTCGATTGAGGAAGCTTGAGTCGCGATTTCGACGCGCCAAAATGAAGTCCGGCATGGTTTGTTCTTTCCGTCTAACGGGCTTTCTTTCGCTGACTCTTTACCACGTGATCCTTAGCGGCCTTGTCGAGATGATCAAGGATACGTGCTGACTCAAGCTATGGTGGAGTACGAACGGGCAGAAACATCATCTGTCAGTACCGAGTTACGCAACGCACGGAACGAACTAGACGCGTCACAGCGTGAAAAACGCATCGCAGCCAATGTCGCCGTCAGTTCCTTTCGCCCAACCTATTATCCTCAAGCCTCGCAAGCCCAGTACTATCGCACGTACCCATACGCATTCACTCAACCATATACCAATACCTCTCAAGGGACTACAAATTCGAATTTTTACTCGACGCCCACATCAGCTCCTTCGGCTGCTCCTACTACAACATCAGCTTCTACTGCAATTCCGATACAGCTTCCCGTCAGTTCGTTGCCTGCCCTACATGCTCTCGGAATAGTGCCGATTCCCGCTGCTTCGCTCCCACCTCCAGATCAGCCGCAGCCGGCGGCCGTACTACGAGGGTCTACTTCCAATGGAACAATTTTGAGTCTAGAGATAAATGTGTCGCTACTACAGTCGCCGCAAGTGAGCGGACTGGCATATTTATTGAATTCTATGATGTCGAGGAGTACTACTTCTGGGCAGGGGAACCCTAGTTCGACGACAGGAGGGCAGCCGTCGTCTGTAGCTACGTCCGACACCGCGGCTTCGTCACATACGGATGGCTCGTCTGGAGAATAATCGAGCAGGGAGATGGGTCAGCATAATGTGAGGTTGACAGTAGGGTACTTGTTCCTACCGCATTTGGGGTAATGTGAGTTATAGTAACAGCTTGTCGTACGCTGTGTTGGCGAAGTCTCTGGCTTACATAATTTGATGTGAAGCAGTACCAGTTTGTATTGATCTGTGTGCGAATGGGCTGGACCAGCTGGTGCCATACTGCCAAGTTCGAGGTGCACGAGGGGAATGTTGACAGCCGTGAAAAGTGTTGATAGTACTTGTTTACATCTGGAGCCTCAAGCTTAGAGCGCCTAGTGACGTGACGTACGCTCGTAGGTTGTGTTCAATCAATAATTCTTCCTCGTTCGCTATCAGTCAACGTTCCAACAATGTTGTACGCCACATATCAATTGGACCATGCCACATCCATCGAATACATGAAGTATGATGCGAGTAGCTGTCAGATCAAATTAAAAGAGGGCGCTCAAGTACAACGTTGATACAATATGCATAGTACGTTTCCGGTTTGAAATGCGCCTTCGCGAATCGAGATATACACCAGTGGGGGAGGGGGGAGAGTCCGATATGGACCAACAGATTGAAAATCTTTATGAGAATGCACCGCCCAGGCTGCCCAATGTCGTCAACCACCATGCACGATACAAAGCACCCCAGCCTTCCTCATCGATGATCCTCTTCCCACAATCAACCAAGCCGACATATGGCTCCCTCTCGGTTCTCAGACTACAATTATGAATTGTTATCTCAGACAGCAGAAGCGAGAAAGATAATTTTACATACCCAATGACATCCTCTTCCATACCAGCGTACTCGGTTGCTTCTTCAGCATCGCCTTCTTCCTCTTGTGAGATAGAATTGAATTCAGGGGCTGCGTGGTTTCGTTGGATAGAAAGTCTGATGGTAATAACTTCCAAAGGGGTAAGGATAATTGTGCTCAGAAGCGTGATGACAAAGAATACGACGAATTTGACAGGGGAAATTTCTTCCCTGCGAGGCATGCCGGGGTTCGCGAGTTCTGGGAGAAGAATCTGCCGGATCGATCGCAGACCGAGAACGATGTAGGCGATGTGGGCGACTTGGGCAGTAAGGAGACCGGGAGTGAGATAGAGAATCCAAGGTCTCCGACGTTCGGTGGGTGTCAGGAGAACACGGAGTGAGTAAATCGGGTTCAAGTACGGCAACTTGTGAGGTGTTGTAATTGCACTGAGAAACCGGATCATTGTAGGTTAGTTTAAAACATTGTCAAGTGAGCCGAATAGAATGATCTAACCGGTTCGTGATGATTACCTGAGGAAGAGAAACAAGCATGGCGAAAATGCTGTAGACAAGTATGCCGACAACGCCTGCATCAGGGGCGCTATATGTCCCATGGCGAAGATTGCTGTCACTCAAAAATATCATTAAGAAGAAGGTGATGACGAGAGTTGACAGCAACGTGGGCACTAGGCGACATGCGTCAGATGTGGTATGATAATATTATGTTGGACACACTTAATCCCTTGTATAGCCCTGGCCAACCCTACACAATAATGTCAAAGCACTGGTCATCTGGATGTGCGGGAATACCCACCTCGATTCTGTGCACCCTTCTCAACATTGAAAAGAAGGATGAGACGACTGGGCCAGTATGAGGTTGTACACCGCCCTCTGAATCAAGCTGCAGACCCTTTGGGTTGTAGTGTGCTCTGAAGCGCACTAATGCGCCAGCTAATGGCACCAAGATACCCAGTGACAAGCCCAATGACCCCAACAACATCATCATATCGAAAAGTCCAAGCATGATGGCTGCACTGAGGGAAATAAAGAAACGTTTGGGCGCAGTACTTATGCCGAGGCGTGCGCAGTCCCAGGCCTCTGGGAGTTCGGCAAGTGCCTTGACACTGCCAAAGTGGTAATTCGGGTGATAATCATCTTGAACTCGAACCACCACCATCTCTTACCGTCCCTCTGTCTTCAATAAAGGCATACGCAGTTCATTTGCTCTTCTTAGTTCTATATTTTTTTTCTTTGAAATGTCTTTGAGTGGCTCATGTTAACTTGTATTGCTGATCTTTTGTAATTTTTCAGACGCTTCAACGAGTTCCTAGGTTGAACCCGTTTTTTATGTTGTCTGATTTTTTTTTTCTGGAAGTTCCCAGGTTTTGCTGCCGTTGCTGCAACCTCCAGATGAGCCTATTTTCATAATACGAATCCTACAGCAGGACGGTCTCTTCTTTTGTGGGCTTTTTATGACGCATGATCGATCATAAATTGTGGGGCTCATGAGTTTAACCAGCCTCATCTGTATATTGAATTTCAGTTGGGTCTCGCTAGTTCCCATCTCTGCATAAATGATCATTTGGATGTGTTCATTCAATATTGGTGCGCGTTACTATACCTCAGTTGAAGTGAGTAGATCCTTTGTTTCCTTCAATTAAACTCACATTTCTCTTCAGGAGATACTCGTTAGGCTTGCCTTGCAAGGATCTTGGTATGATCAAGTCCAAAGTTTAATTGGCACTTAGTATTTGGGGCATGGAACTGTGCGATCTTGATCTATTCCTGATCCGTTGATCGATTCTGAGTATTCGTGTTGCACATCATCATGTGCTAGATTCTTCTCTCTCTACGTGCGTCGTCACCTTTACGTGCAGGCTCTTACATCTTTATATGTAGTCCATATCTGACAATAAATCTTTCAAACCTGTTTTCCGTCGTCGACTTCTGGTATCCGATTACCAGAGACGAGTGTGCTATTTGCCTTCCCGCTGCATCTGTCAAGAGGCCGTCGTGCACACGGTATCACCACATCTTGCTTCAGTCCTTTTGACAGGATCGACGGTGGACACGTTTACTCCATGTGCATGCACCTTCTACCGACGCGGCATACGTTCCGTGACCATGCAAGTCTTTACTCTCCATCCACGCGACGGCTTCGGTGTCCTTACATACCATGCACCTATCTATTGTACAGCCTTTGGCTTTTCGTGTCTATATTATCTAGTGGAAATATAGTTTTCTTGTGCCACATTCATTGACTCTCCGACGTTACGGGTAAATGGTGTACATCCACTTTGCCTCCCACCAACTTGTAGGCAACAACTTACAAATCCCTTGGGTTCTTCTCATCCTCTCTCGAAAATTTAACTTGGTATGTCGTCGTCGATGTCTGTCGACGACGTTGCAAGCAGTAGAGTTAGTTGAGAACTTAGTTTTTTGTATCGTTTTCTCACAAAGCGCCCGTCGTCTCTACAGAAACCGACTGCAGTTGGCGGACTAAGGTTCCAGAAGAAGCCCAACAAAGATGGATCTGAAGCTATTAACTCTTCAGCAGCCACTAGTAACATCGCTTATCCTTCTTTTGTTCCTCCTCCTCAGTCCCGAGATGCTACGGCACCAGCGCGATACCATCCCCCAGCGACTCCGTCACGAGGCATAGTCCTCGTCCCCAGTTCCAGCCCTCTACTTCAAGATGCAGGCTATCATCAACCTTATCAACTACATCATCTCCAGTACGCTCAAGGTAGCTCCTCAACGACTGGCCCTAATCACCACAATCTGTGGAGTCAGTCCGGTCCCTCAGCCGTGCCCGACGTCCTGTCCTCATCAAGTGGGTTTGTCCACGGTAGTGGTCCTGCTCACGCGTCATTCACGCGTCAGTCGCGTCCATGGGCAGGAGATGTGAGACCGTTATCTGAAGTTGATAGTTTTGGGGATGAAGGTCCACCGAGAAAGCGTATAAATCGCGGAACACCCTCCGACGCCCTACCGCTCGGGATGGTAACCCCTGGCTCTCCAGATATCCAACATCCAGGGCAAAGGCGTAAACAGAATGTAAACGCAGAAAGGCAGTCGCATTCATCGGATGAATCGATGCTGGATGTCAGGTCGTCGCTGGAAGGACCCTCAAAGCGGATCGTCCGCGGCCAACGCCCAGACCACGCTGACTCATATGTGTTCACTGTATTCCAGCTTTCGCACCCTGGTTATGACCTAGCCACACTCAGGGCTGCTTGGAATGAAGCTAATGGGAATGACAACAAGGCATCTTTGCTCCTCTCTGATTCTTCATGGAAGCCCCAATCCACACCGACTCCATCTAATTCTGCCACCGTCGCTAAAGCACCGTCTGTGCCAGCGCCAGAACCACCTACTGTCGAGACTACTGGGAGAGTGGAAGAGGTCGATGAAGCCACCAAAACCCAGCGCGCTGCTCTCCGGGAGAAGGCCAAGAAATCATCCATCTATGCTAACAGAGCTACATTAGATACCACACGGTCCCCTACGGTTCCCAACATCCCTATACCCAGAGCTATGTCGCCTGCATCCCCATCCACACCTGCCATCATGGCCCCACGCCGCAAGCGACCAAAGAAGTTGATCCTCTCTGACGACGAGGCCGAAGCCAGTGAAAGCGAGGAGGAGCTTCCACGAACCCGTCAGAATGGAGAAATTTCTCGGGAGAGGGCAGCGTTTGAGTATTTCAACCAGGCCAATGTAGATGCTATTCAGGAATTAACCGGTATGTTTTTCCTACTACTATCTCCATCAAGCGCAATGCTGAGATCACGATAGGTTGCACCCCAGAACAAGCGCAGAAGATCATCGAGCTTCGGCCTTACTCTTCAATAGCAGACCTCAATACCAAACTTAACCAAGGCAAGAAAAAGGCAGGACCATCCGGAATTAGCCCCCGTATGTTCGAAGACTGCCAGGAGATCCTTCAAGGCTATGACACTGTCGATGGCATCCTTGAAGAGTGCGAGCAAATTGGTTCGACTTTGCGCACTGCTATCGCGACTTGGACTACGGAAGATTTGTCAAGCAAAGGCAAAGGGAAGGAAGCGCCACTAGCCCCGGATCAAATCGAGGAAGGCTCGTTGAGTCTACGTGCGTTGAAAATTTCAAACGATGCTGCATCAAAGGGCTTCATCTCATCTCAACCCTCGATGATTGCGGAAGGCATAACGCTCAAGGACTATCAGCTTCTTGGCATCAATTGGCTGTTTTTGCTCTATCGGAAAAGACACAGTTGTATTCTAGCCGACGAAATGGGTTTGTACTCCCTCGGTTTGAACAGCAAGGACGCTCACGAGAGTATCCAGGCCTCGGCAAGACCATACAAGTCATCAGTTTCTTTTCTCTGCTCAAGGAACGTGGAAACTTTGGCCCGCATCTCGTCATTGTGCCGTATGCTTGATCGTGCTTTGGTAGTGTATTAGCTTTGAAACCGTTTTCTTGCAGATCGTCAACGCTGGAAAACTGGTGTCGAGAGTTTGCTCGATTCGCGCCTTCAATATCAGTGCAGACTTTCTATGCTGGCAAAGATGAACGGGCAAGCTTGCGACAGATGCTGATAGACACACGGCGGGGATCAAGCAAGAATGGGACGGGGTGGGAGGTGCTAATCACTACCTACAACCTTGCTCAAGGTGACGACAAAGACCGCAAGTTTTTCAGAAAAATGGAGTGGGATGTAAGTCAACATATTCGTTCTATATCATTCGAGTTTTTCACATGTGATCTAGACTATCGTTTTCGACGAGGGACATGTCTTGAAGAACTTCCAGTCCCAGCGTTACCAGGCATTACTCAAATTCGAAGCAAAATGGCGACTCCTTTTAACAGGCACTCCTTTGCAGAACAACCTTCAAGAGCTAGTGGTGAGCCCAATCTCTCGACCCGCTCAGCTCGACTTCACATCAAAAAAATGCCGTCTAGTCATTGATGAACTTCATTCTTCCGGGTATGCTCTCGGAAAAGCTGGAGACCTTGCGAGCGATCTTCAAAACGAAGGGCGATGCCAAGGTCACATTGCTCTCTCAGGAGCGTATCTCAAGAGCTAAGAAGATGATGACGCCGTTTGTCCTTCGACGGCGCAAGGATCAGGCAAGTCTATTCAGATGCTATTGCCACACTTGACGTGTAGCCTTCTTTTATTACAGGTTCTAAAGGACCTTCCGCTAAAAACTGAGCGGATAGAATGGTGTGATATGACCGACATACAGCGATCGATATACCATGACGCTCTGCAACGGTCGCGAAAAACAATATTGGATGCAGAAGGTGCTACTCCCGACGCATCAGGTACGACGACGCCAGTCACGAATGGCAAAGCCGTCAAAAAGAAGACGAAAGCCAATCCTCGTGCGAAGGACAAATACCTGGAAAACAGCTCCAACGTGCTCATGGATTTGCGTAAAGCAGCTTCACATCCTATGTTGTTTCGCAAGTTGTTCGATGATCAAGCGTTGACTTCAATAGCAAAACAACTGCTCAAGGAACCGGAATTCAAGAAGCGAGGCGCAGTTTTCGAGTATATCAAGGAGGATATGGAAGTCATGACCGACGCAGAGCTTCAGTTTTTCTGCCAGGGCTATAAGGTCGGGGCTAACAATTTTTTTTATCGATGTGGATGCGCCGTACTCACGCTGCGCAGTCGACGCGAAAATTTCTCCAGGATCAAAACTGCTATCTTAATGCTGGAAAGATATCGGTTCTATTGCGGTTGCTTGAGGACTATAGGAAGGCGGAACGAAAGATTCTAATATTCTCTCAGGTTCATCCCTATTTCTTGAATAAAGAGTTTCCAACTTACAACTCCCGTATAGTTCACACAGATACTAGACATTCTTCAAGCGATTTTGAAGCTGAAGGACATTAAATATCTAATTCTGACTGGCTCCACTGCCGTAGATGTGCGACAAACGCTTGTGGACGAGTTCACCGAAGATATGTCGATACCTGTGTTCCTCCTATCAACGAAGGCGGGTGGTATGGGTATCAACTTGACAGCTGCAAGCGTCGTTGTCATGTAAGTGATCTACATCATCTGTGCACACGCGACCAGTTTCTCATCCTCCAAAGGTTTGACCAGGACTTTAATCCTCACAATGACCGGCAGGCACAAGACCGTGCTTATCGCATTGGCCAGAAGCGAGATGTAGATGTCGTGAAGCTTATCAGTCGCGGGACGATTGAAGAAGACATGCTCCGACTTGGGGAGACTAAACTGGCCCTCGACGAAGCAGTAGCAGGAGAAAGTGAGGAAGCTGACGGCGACAAGGGAGCCAGCAGACAGGAAAAAGAGGTTAAGAAGTCACTCATGGGCCAGTTGAGGAGGCAATTGGAAAGGCAAGATGGAGCTTCCACCAGACCTGGACAAATACCCGCACAGTCCTCTTAATAATTATCAATATGCTTTGTTGCCCTTGCATTCGTTAGTGCTTTGCTTATTGTTTACCATCTTGATTATAGTATGGTATGTAGATATTGGTAGAGTTTTCGAGTAGTTAATTGAAAACTGACAGTCCACGAACGAGCCGGTCGATACTAGCACGAAAGTAATCGTTGTCGATGCCCTGAGAACGAGAATCCATAGGAACAAGAGGGTTGCGGACAACATATTCGAGGAAAGGACCATTGTAGATTTGACGAAGTATGAAGCGAAGGCCGTCAGTAGCCGTATCGCTCAACATAACGAATTTGTAGCCAGATACGGTTTCATACAAGTGAAGCCTGTATGATGATGTGCGGTAGTTGGTAAATTGTTCATCCCTTTATATGATCAGAGGATTGAATGGGATAAGCAAGTAATGCACACCTTCCCGAGATCTTTTTGACCATGTTTCTGAGTGACAGGACAACACCATATACTAGCTTCGCCTCTTCATCAAAAGGAAGGGTATTCGACCTTGCATGCTCAGCTGGATTTGGTAGAGGTGTCACAGGATCCTCGCCCACAGCGACAACCAATCCTGATGTCGAAGACAACGTATTTCGGGGACTGCTAAATGCTGAAGGGGTAGGAGCGGTACTGTCTGTTGCAAGCGGAGAGACAGCTTGGGAGACGGCGTTTAAGATGCCTCCTCCTTCTCCAGCTCGCTTTGGCTGCTTGGTCCGGTGCCAGTCCTGATAGTAAACACATGCGCAATGTCTGGCTCGACGGTTGGGCATCATGATCTACTGATTAATCAGCCAATTTACTCACCTATCGTAGATATATAAGCTATAGATCGTCATTGTGCAGGCTACTGTCGGTCAGAAAATCCAGGAATTGGGCAGTCTGAGGTCTGTACAGACTTGACGCGTTGCAGCTGTGTTGGCGTCTTTCGGGAGTTTCCGACAAGTGCGCGTCAGCCGCTCATTGGTCCATTGGCAAGGTCTGTCCACCGGCAACTTCGTCATGCGAAGGGGTGGACCATTTTTGGTCTCACGTGACGCCAAAATGGTCGTGCGCGCGAGGGTCCAGGGACCATTTGCGAGACCAATCGTAAAAGTCACGTGATATACGGTTTGAAGGGGAACAGAAAATGCTGGTGCTGAGGATGAATGCAAGCAAAGGGCGAGGGCTTAATAGGAGATAGGAGCAAGGAGATAATGTAATATACAAATCCTGAACCATCAGTAGTGAGAAAGGGGGGGAAGGAAACCATGAGTACTTAAGGATGTGCAAACAGCATTTGAATTGAAAGATTTAAAAAAAATACTACAAGGCCCAGTGCTCCTGGAGGTACTTGACATGAAGGTGCTTGATGCAGTTAGCAGTGTATCTGGTGTTGATCCATCAATCCCAGTAGAAACCACCTATGGCATGGTACAACAGAAACCAATTTGTATATGTTTGTATCGAAGTCAATATGATGAGATAAGGCAGATAATGAAAAACACACATTGAATGCATTGCATTGTCTCGTTTTGCATTGCATCAGCTCGAACTTGCTTGTAACTTTGCTTTGTCTTACATTGCATTGCTTGTATCTTTGCTCTTTGCTTGTCTTTGTCTCGTCTGGCTTGCGCATCTACAAGTGACTTGCATGCAAAGCAATGCAAAGGTAAGCTACTAACTACTAGAGGCTTTTATACTTATTGTTTTTTGCAGTAACACTTCTGAAGCACACCATACACTTGGGGACCCAGGTCCTGTAAGCCCCACTATGCAGTCCATTGCTACTACCAGTGATTGCCATTGAGCAGCTCATTGTGAGCTTGTAAAACAAGGCACTCTCCATGAGGACAATGCTTGCACAGGCTGACACAAGCACACACATGTAGAGACAAACGAGGCAGCAGGGAGTACCAGTGCTGCACGACCAGAGGGTGATGAACTTGGCAAATTCAATATTGACAACAATGATTTCAATACACATTAAGACTGAGACAAGGTAAGCTTCACACCAGCATACAAAACTTGACCTGACCAGTGTTTTCTACAGTCCTGAGCCACCCATGCCACAACTAGACACAAATCATCAAGAAAATGAACCTTTGCCCCATGCACATTCCCGACCACCATCTCCTGATCCTGCTCAGGATGATGCACCTTCCCGATCACTGTCTCCCCCTGATCCTGCTTGGGATGATGACATAGAGCCACTCCAACACAATATAGATCAACATGTTTGCATTAATATTGATATCAATGAACTTGAATGTCTTGCTGTCCTTCCCAAGCAGAAGGATGCTATCACATTCATCTAGGCATTGCAACATGCTTCCTTGGATGACCCATGCACTAAACTCAATGATGCAGCCTTACACCATTTATGAGTTCCCCTTCAAGAACAACTTATTATTGAAGACCCTTCTATTTGACATGCCATCACAACATACTTTGCACTTGAACACTTGGCTAATGAAACATACAAGCAGATTCACAAGTCTGCTGCATGCTGTTTTGAGGGTGCTACTGATGTCCCAAGTCACACCTACATTGAGAGGCTCATTGCAGAATATGGATAGAGCATGATATGTGTCCTGAGAGTTGTGTTGCCTTCACAGGACCTTTTGCAGAGCTGTAAAACTGTCCAATCTGTGGCACAGAATGTATGACCCCATCAAGCTGTGGGCAAGTGGAGGCCAGACTTGTGTAGCTCAACAGAAATTCATCACTATCCCCCTTGGCACACAGCTTCAAGCTCTTTGGTGCAACCCCGAACATGCTCAGCATATGTTGTATCTCTCTGACAAGACAGAGCATTTGTTAAATGAGCTACGCACCAACGGAGGTGTCTTCAATGAGATTGACAACTTTGTCATGGGTATGGATTACATACATGCTGTCCTATGTGGAGATATAACCAAGGGCGATGTCATACTCATGATCTCAATGGATGGCACTCAACTTTATGAGAGCAAGCAGTCTGACTGCTGGATCTACATATGGATTGTAATGAACCATGCACTGGGCAACCACTATAAGAAGAAGTACATACTTCCCAGTGGCTTCATACCCAGCCCCAACAAACCCAAAAATGTTGATTCCTTCCTATTCCCTGGCATGCACCATCTCACTGCTTTGCAATGAGAAGGACTTAACATCTGGGATGCTCAAATAGACCAGACATTCCTCTCACATTTGTGTCTTGTTTATGTGACCATGGACAGTCCAGGTCTGGTGTATTTTGATGGGATGGTTGGACATAGCAGTCGTAATGGTTGCCAACTTTATTGTGGTCTCATTGGGTGACATAAAGGTATGTTACAGTTTGTATATGATTGAGATAAATCTTCTAAGCATCTTTATAGGGATGCATTACTATCCAGCTCTCTTGATTCTGAACGACTACCAAGTCCAAGGCTGCAGCCACCCTGACATGAGCGTGTATGACCTGCCTAACACAGCATCAGCTGAATATCCTGCCAATCTTGCGAAACTTGTTGCTGCCCCCAACTGAGCTCAATACCACAAGCTTCAAGTGGAGACAGGTCTCATGAAACCTAGTATGTTGCTAGGTCTTCTCCCTTGATACACCCTCAGAATCTCCCAATGTCTCACACCTGACATCATGCACCTTGCTCAGCTTCTGGCCAATCTGTTACTCTCTCTGTGGCATGGTACTATAGACTACACCCCTCCTGATCATCCATCTACCTGGGAATGGGCCATTTTTAGAGATGCCGACCTGTGGCAAGGCCATGGACAAGCCATTGCAAATGCTGTGCAACATCTACCTGGGTCATTCAATAGGAAACCATGCAACCCCACTCAAAAGATTAACACCAGATATAAAACCTGGGAATTCCAGATGTACATCTTTGGTCTGGGCCCCACACTTCTCTATGATATTATCCCTTGGCAATATTGGCTCAATTATTGTTGACTGGTGCACAGTTTTTGTCTCATTTGCCAGCACTTAATTTCCATGCAAGACTTACAAGCAGCGCATGCCTGCTTCATTCAGTGGGAGCTTAACTTTGAGATACTATACTACCAACAGCGAGCTGAATGCCTCCAGTTCATACATCCATGTGTCCATCAAGTCATGCATCTTGCAACTGAAACCCTTCAAAAGGGACCACCAATCTGTTACTCACAATGGACAATGGAGTGCATGATAGGAAATCTTGGCCAGGAGATTTGACAACCATTAAACCCATACATGAATCTGTTGAGGGAGGGGGTGCAGCAGTGTCAGGTCAATGCACTCAAAGCTATGGTGCCTGACCTTGTTGAGCCAAAGCAGGACCTCCCTCAGGGTTCCATTGATTTAGGCGATGGGTATAGTCTTCTCTGCAAATGTGATCCATATGATGTTCAACCTCAAGGTGGAGCTGCCTGAGCTATTCAGGAGTACCTGGGGGCTGATGTGAAAATTCATTGCTGGGCTTATCTGCACTTACCAAATGGGCAGATGGCAAGAACAGTGTGGAGAGAAGCCAAGAAACCTGCTGAGAAGGTTCACATTTCATGCAATGTCAAGGGATGTCTTAGTGCTTACAGACTGTTCAAAGCTGATGAAATATTATAGCTTGTTGTCCTGCATGATTTGGGAATCATGCATGGACATGACTACTGGGTAGCCCCCCCTAAAAGACAAAGTCTGTTAGCTTAGGCATCAGGCTAGTCAACCCATACCTTGGTTTCAAACCTTGGTCATATAGTTCAGTTTCCCCTTTGTGATTCATGAATTTATTATATCTTGAAGAAAAGTCATTTGTGAGATGGGAATCACATAATGACCTAGTTGATATTGTGAAGCAAGAAGGTTAAGGTATTGCCTTGCCTTTGGCTTATTCACTTTGGCTAGAGAAAACCATAGAGAAAAGTTCAAAGCCTAACAAAAACCTATCTAAAAAGCCTGTGTTTTGTGTCTTGTTATTGTATTATTATTTCTGAGTTGTTTTCTCTAGTATTTCCTTGATTTATTTTTCTATTGGGATGCTCTGACCCATCAGATACTTCACAAAAATTGTACCTACAGGGTATGATGTCATAATGATGTCATATGGCTCCACAGATACTCCTGCAAGTATTCTGTTGAAAGTTATGATGTCATGATGATGTCATTTGTTCTGGAATATTCTGCTCCACAATGACTCACCTCTGATGTCATTACTCCACCTATGGAATATTCTGGAATGTTCTGCTCCACTTCTGATGTCATTGCTCCACTTTTTTACTTACACAATATTCCTACACAAAATGTATATAAGGAGGGCCCATTCTCCCCCAAAAAAATAGGATCTCCCACTTGCAATCATTTGAATCTCAGTTTGAGCTACTCACTGTGAAGATTGCTGCTTACAAAGAAAGCCCCTTTGAAGTACCAAGTGCAGGGAAAAGACATTCCCTTGAGATTACATAAGTTTCTTATAATAGAAACTTAGTTTATTTGAGACCAGCTTCTCACCTAGTTTTCTGATATTGACCAACACAATGTAGGGAATGAGATTCCTCCAGGCGTATATCGCCCATATTACAACTCATGACGATTGGTATAGTGTGCAACTCACTACCCATGACTTTCCCATGAAATGCGCCAGAGGCGTGACACTTTCCCACATTATGCGACGCATTCCCACACACGTGCTTAGCACGCTCTTCCCGCACTTGGTCACACTTTGTTGTGCAGCATCCCAGAGCATCCATCCATCGTCCAACCAGTTCCCTAGTGAGTCCTTTCCTGTTTATTCTCATATTGAACCATATTTAGTATTTGTATGGCATTATTTCATCATGGACCCTTATTTACACCATTTACATACATAGAGCACTCCCTGTTCGCTTCTGAGCCCTGGGAGCACGCCTAGGCACAGCTTACCTGTGGCCTAGGAATTTTTCATATACCTACCACCACGAGAGAGATACACCAACCACCATCAGTCTAGTAGTCGTCTAGCAGTCAGAATCTATCATCTTCAGCCAGTATGCTTCAGTCGTCGCCCTAGTCACCAGCAACAGTCCATTATCACTCAGCAACCCCAGTTCATGCCTTCCATCAGTCTTTACACATCCGCACACCAGCTTGCACCTTATTCCCACGCTTCGCGCTCCTACGCGTTCCATATTCCCGCGCACGCGCCCCCAGCGCGCTTCACCAGAGTTGACCTGGTGTCACTTTGTGGATTTGCTTTCCTTGCTTCCCTTAAGGGTCGAACATATCGCCTGGTGCACTTCGACCAACACTTAGAGAGTCAGTAGCCTTCCTCACACCCCAGAGGTAGAGGCATCTTTCTTTCTTTAGCTCTGCAAGCCTAGCAGAGTTGTTGAACCTTCAATGAGCTTTGGTCAATCTGTTCATTTGTGAGATCAGCTTCTCACCTAGTTTTCTGATATTGACCAACATGAGCTTTGGTCCATCTGTTCATTTGTGAGACCCACTTCTCACCTAGTTTACTGAAATTGACCAACACAAGCTTTGGTCAATCTGATCATTTGTGAGACCAGATTCTCACCACTTTGTGCCTATTTGACCAACCAGTCTTTGGTCAACATATTCATATTTGAGACTGTAGTCTCTACAGAGAATTATCTTAACAAGGAACCACATTCCAGTGTTTAGACAGTTTATCCTAGACAAATTTATAAGTTGGGATATAACACAAAAGCTCTGGCTAAATTAATCACATAGATTGGTTTAGCGAGCCTCCCAAGAACTCACACATTATCTACCACAAAAGAAGAAAAGTCGTAGACCATGTTAATTGAGGACTGGCAAGAAGTCTTATCCTAGTGTAATTGTGGTGTCATTACATTTTACATGCATTTATATAAGACCCTTGGTTATTAAGACATCATGTTGGATGGCGAGATTCACCTCGCTGAAGTTCTTTACTTCACCTGTCTAGCTGTTGCAGATGGCTTAGATGAAGATGGAGAACAGATTTTTCATTGGCAGGCCATGGCACTTGTCATGATGTATTCCTATCCAGATCATGACCTTCTTGAGCTCTCCTTTCATGCTGTAAGTTAATGCAAACCCATTGAGGATGATATTCATGTTGTAGATGTGAAATCCATTACTGATGTCATTGGCATGGTGCCCCACCAACCCAATCTACCATCTGGGGTGACTGAGGACAGATATTTTTTAGTTGAGAAGCCAGGACTCAATATTGCAACATTCGAGGTGGCTTACAAGGGTGCTGGTGAAGATGACAAGGCTCAAGACAATGAATATTAGGTGAAACATGTATTTAATTACAATTATTTAAAACTTGTCATCAAGAGACATGTCAAGTTTATGTTTAAGTTCCCACACAGCCTGAAAGGACTCATCTGTCCTGGAATGATCATAAAAACATGCCTCTTCCTCTTGTGCGAAGTACTTCCAATAGATTGAGCCTGGAGGGGGTGGACTTGGTGTTGTGAACCACTTTTGGTCAAGCTTGGGAGCAATAGGTTTAGGTGTAGTGGGTTCAGATTCTGGTTCTGTGACACTATCATTGCCACTGGGAAGAGCTTTTGATGGTAGAGGTGTGATGTTTGATGGTAGAAGTGCGATGTTTGATGGTCGAGGTGTGACATTGTCTGATTCCAGTTCTGTGACACTGTCATTGCTCAGGAGAGTCTTTGAGGGCACTGCATGCTGTCCTGGTTCATCCAATTCTGGTTCCATGACACTGTCATTGCTGCTGAGAAAAGCTTTTGATGGGAGAGGTGTGACATCATCTGATTCCAGTTCTATGATGCTGTCGTCACTCAGGAGAGTCTTAGATAGGAGAGGTGCTATATCATCAAAGCTTTTAAATGCTAATTCAGTGTATCTCTAGACAGTGCAGTCAAATGATATACTTACATATCATCAATCCAATCTCATAGCACCTCCTTTTGTGTGACGAGTTGCTTCTGGTCAGACTCAGCAAGAATGTGCTGCTTAAGAAGTTGACAAGCAGGATTATTGAGCCAGTATTCTCGAGCCAGTATATCATTGTCAGATGGAGTCAAATGAGGACTGCTATCAGACACAGAGTGGCTGCAACAGTTGGTCCAGTCCTCACTGAATAAATTAAGTGTGTGAGTCCACAATTTACTACAGGTTAATCTGACCTTATGGGCTCTTTCTGAAGATATTCATTGAGGTCAGAGTCTGATGGTAACTTCAAGAAAAATTGCACAACATCAGGGAGGTCCATAAGACTTTGAATATGAGAAATGAGCTTAATTCAAATACTTGGGAGATTTCGAGTGATTTGGATATTGCCGAAATGTCAGATACACCAGTGGGTAGTTATGACTTCATAGCGTCTCTTCATACCACCATCATGTCAGTACTATCCCCACCCTCACTGGCTTCACCAGGGTCTTTCTTGTCTTCATCTCTTTCATTGGATCATTTCTTGCAGCATTCAAAGGATTACCTGCAACAGAATGTAAGTATCATATTGCCTGTATCATATGCTCAGAATATCTTCATAGAGTGAATATATGCACATAAAGGGTGGGTATATGCGCATGCCAAGTGCCAGCACTCCCTCTGAAATTTGAATCCTGCTCCTTCAGGAACAGCTCACTGGATATGAATCACAATGCATCAAGTTACAGTGCAAAATCGCAAGACTCACAGGAGAACATGATACTATTAAGTACGCTGTAGGGATTTCATATTCTGTGGGCTTGTATAGGCAGATATTACTTAGTGTTATGTTCGCACTTTTGGTGCTTATGTAATCATCATAGTTTTCACCATCTACCAGTACCAGTCTGAGACTGAGAGTTATTAGCATGATTTCCTGCTCTCTCTGAGCACTGAGTCTAGTCCAGAAACCCTTTAGGGTTGAATAGCAGCTAGGCATAGCACATTTAGCCCAACATTAGAAGTCTACTTTCCAGTTCTCTTCTTGTTGTGTTTCCCACAACACAACCCTTTCTTAAATCTAGTATACTGACAACTAGTCTAGACAATCATTCCATGATATTGTACAGGTTCTTCAATTACCAAAGGATACGGACCTGCTCAAATTCATGATTGGCAATGTCATAGCAAGCGACTCACAGCAATCTTGCCCCACCAAAACTTCTCACCTGAAAGTACAGTTTTGGCTCTGATCTGACTACAACACATGGCTTGATTCTGCCATGGTCTTGCACATCAAACAAGGCACTGCTCCATACCTTGAGGAAGAGGATGGTACCTGCATCACAAATGCAACTCTCAAGTCTATCCACTGTAGGTGTCATGCAGCTTGGGCTGAACTTGTGGAGAAGCTCGTGCCACCAACATGGGTGAGGCTATGCACTTCTGGCCAAACCTTGATGTGGAGCATCATGGAGACGGAGTTTCCTCTGTTATGGCTTGACATGGATGGCTGGAAGTTGACCTTACTTTGTACAACTGACTATCCCAACTGGCAGAAATGCCACCTTGATCAAGATGGGAGCTGGAAGAACCCAGACAAGACTGCCACCAAACACAAGGCTATGGGCAACAACAACAACAACAGCATGCACTCAGATGCCAAGCCTGTTAAGGTTGTACTCAAGGGATAACTGGATCTGAAGGGCTTCGGCCTCAGCTCGTGCGCTGTGCCCCTTACCCAAGTATTGCCCCTTATTTCAGGAAGGCAAGACTAACACGTCCGGAAGGTCAGACAAGTATCATAATGGATCTGGATGACTTCTGGATGCAGGATAGGTATCATAGGGCTAATCTGGACAAGTCCAGACTAGAAACTAACAGTAATAGACTGTTGGAGACAGAGGCGGATACAGATAGACTATAGGAATCAATCCTAAGTCTCAGAGGGTGACGAGAGTGGAGATACTCAAGTCTGGAGGACGGGAATGAGTAGAACTAAGATGATATTCAAACTGAGGTACTACAGAAAGTTATAGGAGGTTATATACTATAGATATCTAACAGAATGATCAATCAGCAGAGTCCGAGGCTATGTACGAAGCATGTGGATAGTCTATTGGTAAGTAGAAATGGATCACAAATCATGAAATGGAAATGAAACATAGGTAATGGATCAGGGAGCAGGACGGATGTACAGATAACCAAAATACTGGAGTTAGGGGGTTACTGAAAGGAGATGAGCGCTGGTTGTGGATTCGGATGAGTTGTGGACCGGACCGGACAAGTGGACAGATTGAATGACAAGATGTTGGAGGGAGATAAGATGTGGATCTGAGATGAGATAAGGGTCAGATCTGAGATCCAGATATGCAGATATGACAAAGCCCAATCGAGCACCAGTTTTCAAGTCAAAGGGTAAAAAATGCGAACATATGGATGACTCCCTTGATTTGGAACTTGCTGATAAGCATCACAAAGGCATGTATTACTATCACCACTATACTCATCTAACTCTTTGTATAGTGTCTTCTCCCATCAACATATCTGATTCAGATGTCTCCCACAATGGCAATCACAGCCTTCTTGGTAGCCTCAGCAACAATTCTGACAATCAGTACAAGCCTGATCCACCTCTTCCTGCACTCCCTCCTTCCTCGCCACCTCATCACAGCACATCTGGCAGCCTCGGGAACAGTTCTGACATTCAGTACTATGAGCCTGATCTGCCTCTTCCTGCACTCCCTCCTTCCTCGCCACCTCATTATGGCACCATTCTTCCTGGCATCCCACTCGGCAATTCAAACAAGGAGAATGTCCCTGTTATCCTCAAGAATCCCCTGTAAGTTTTTTTTTCAATCAATCAGTTCATGCTAACCACTTTACACGATAGTGTGAATATCTTTGGTGGGCCCAGTGGCATCCCCAAATTCATCCCCACTCCAGCAATTCCTCTGAGCACAGACTCAAGCAAAGGTGGTCCTGTCAAGAGTGGGCCAACCACTGGTGGAGTTGATGTGAAGAAGTGCTTGAAGATGTGGCCAGGTTCTATGAAGAATGGAAGGTAAGTGACCCATTATTTGTTGATATTTCACTGACACGTCGGCAGAAACTTATGTGCACTATGATGGATCAAACAGATGAACAAAAATGGAACCATGGACAAATTCAAGCTCTACTGGAACACTCTAGCGATGGCTCAGCAAGATGAATATCAAGCCGAGGCCAAGCATCTTGACAGTGCTGGTGCCTGGAAGAAGGCTTCTGATTCTGCTGTTGTCAATGGTGCTCTCCACTAGCACCCCAGCCATTACTATTGCACTACTCCCAGGCCTTTGTACACTGTTTTCTGGTGCCCCTCCCTCTCCGTTATCCCCACCACAATACCTGTCATCTGTCTGCTACTGCTGTGTTATTTCCCCCTGCATTTGTACTGTTGTCATGCTCCCATTATTGTATTGTTTCTGTGCACCCCTGCACCTGCTTTTATGCCACTGCAATACCTATCAGTGCTAATATCATGCCCTGTCATAGCATGTCATTTCTTGTCATACAGTGGCTCAAAAAACTGTCCGCATGTTTTGACATTTTTCACTATCTATGATATTGTGTGAGAATGAACAAATGCCTCAAGGAAATGCTTATACCACATTGTAGTATGGCTTCAGGGCTTTCATTTGAGCCCTACACCGTGGGAATCGGTGGAGATATGGTGGAGACATAAGGCTTATAAAATGATGACTCATGTGGACAGTTTTTTGAGTGTATATTAAAACTATATAAATCATTATTTATGACACCACAAAAATCATGCCACTATTATATAAATTATGAAGTGGTGTCATTATGTTATTTTATGACTATATCTAACTATATAAACCAGAATATCTCATGTATCATAGTCATAATCACCATGAAAGCCATCTCCTCTGCTCAAAGGGATAATATCCTCTCTCTGTCTTATACTGGCCTCTCTGCTCGCCAAATTTCCTCTAGAACTGGAGTATGCAAGTCCACTGTGGCTAAGTTTATCAAAGAAAGCCACCCAGACAAGGAAAACTCTTGTGGAGGACATCTATCCAAGCTTACCTCTACTGACAAAAGGGCTATTATCCAACATATCACTACAGGAAAGGCTGATAATGCTGTCCAAGCCACCCATTATATCAATTCCACCATCACTACCCCTGTCTCTTCACAAACTGAGGAATGTTCTCAAGGCAGCTCATCTCAAGGCAGTAACAAAGAAGAAAAAGCCTCTTCTCTCCATCAAACATAGGCAGAGAAGACTAGCCTTTGCCTTAGCTCATCAACACTGGACTGTAGAGGACTGGAAGCATGTTATATGATCAGATGAGACCAAAATCAATAGGATTGGGTCAGATGGGAAGGTATATGTATGGAATATGTATGGAAAAAGAAGGGAGATGGCCTAACAGACAGAGAGGTTAATGGGACTGTCAAGTTTGGAGGAGGTTCTTTAATGGTATGGGGCTGTATGGGATGGAATGGTGTGGGAATGCTTGCTGAGGTTGAGGGGAAGATGAATGCTGAGCAGTATGTGGACATTTTAAATGACCACTTGCTGCCTAGCTTGGCAGAATCAGGGATTGATGAAGAAGATATCATTTTCCAATAGGATAATGATCCCAAGCACACATCCAGAAGAGCTAAGGAATGGTTTGAAGAACATAACATCAATGTTCTTGACTGGCTAGCACAGTCTCCTGATGTCAATGTCATTGAACATCTCTGGGGAACACTCAAGAAAAAGCTTCAAGCCTATGAAAACCCCCCTAAAGGAGTATGGGAGCTTTGGGAGAGAGTAGCAGTGGAATGGGGGAAGATCACAGCTGAGGATTGCCAGAAATTAATTGAGAGTATGCCTAGAAGGATAGAGGCAGTAATTAAAGCCAAGGGAGGTCATACAAAATACTAGAATACCTGGTTATTATTGTAAAATACTTGAGTCAAAAAACTGTCTGCATGAGTCACCATTTTGTGAGCCTTGTATCTCCACCATATCTCTACCGATTCCCACGGTGTAGGGCTCAAATGAAAGCCCTGAAGCCATACTACAATGTGGTATAAGCATGTCCTTGAGGCATTTGTTTGTTCTCACACAATATCATAGATAGTGAAAAATGTCAAAACATGTGGACAGTTTTTTGAGCCACTGTATCAATTGATTCATTTTGCTGTACTACTTTATATGGCATGATATGATTTTATATGAAAATTGAACCAAAAACATATGTTGTCAGAGGAGGGCGTGCCCTGGCATGCAGTATATGTGATGTGCCCCAATGACATATGTTGTGCTCCGATATTTTCCTAATCAAGAAAAAAAACAGACAATGTCCGTTCTTGTTGTACCACACCATAGGTGGTTTCTACTGGGCATCAATCTTGAGCTCATACAACTGGAACAGCACCACCCCTAGAGTTTTAAAGTTCAGTCTGGTCCAGTTTTTTGCCTCTATTTTAAGGCAACCAGACTAAAACTGGTGAGCTAGGACAAAAGCAATGTGATGAGAACTTGATGATGGTGATGATGTCTTACTCTATGAACAGAGCTGACTGCATGTGCTTGTTGCTGACTGAGCTATGTAGGTGCCTGAGAGGCTGCCTCTTGTCTCTATGTCTGTCTCTAGTCTATGCCCTTGGGACCCCAGCCCCCACTATAAGTGTTTATATAGGGTCAGACAGTGTTGGTCGCTATATGATAGACTCACTTTTCCAAAAAAAAAAAAAAACTAATGGTGTCTTACCAAATTATGCTCTGAATTTGTAGATTTACACAAAGAAGGTTCCTCTATATTCATGTATAAGCTGGCATCAGGAAGACTTGGGTGACTCATCCCCAATGCAAAGGGGAACACATATAATGTCAAGAAAATGATGCAGAGATAATGGTGTCTGGTGGAATAGTGCTCTGAATCTATAGCTTTATGCAAAGAATGTTCCCTTGCATTCCATTACATGTTAGACATCAAATAGACTACAATGATCAATCCACAACATAATTGGACAAATTGTTCCCTGCTCCAATTATGTTTGATATTTTTTGTTTGATATTTTTAATGCCAAGATCACAAAGCAGAAATCATAGTAGAACTGTGCTCTAAGTTTGTAGGATTATGCATAGGAGGTTCCTTTAAATTCCATTACATGAATTGATCATTTCACTTACATATATTATACTGATTACTGACATTGCATACATTACCAAAGTATACGTATCATGGTCCATTTTTTCACGGGGCAGTGATGCACTGAAAGGGAAAGGCTGTGAACATGGCAGCCCTCTCGGGACTCGCAACACGTTTGCCAATATCAAGGAGATCTTCGTGCATGCAGGTAAGAAATAAACCTTCATGTCTGTCAGCAAAGTGTCCATATGTCACAGCCATGATTAGGGATGCCGCGTATCTGTTACAAGGATTGATTGTCAGCCAGACTTAGGTACGAAAGCTCGAGCCTCGTGTATTGCTGAAGGTCGCTAGTGGCATTTAAAAAATTGGTGACCGGTTGGCCGGCCCCCACTTCATTTGCATGGCGAGAGTACGTCTCGTGGTATGGGACCGAGACTTCGGTCCTAAAGACTTGATGAAAGATCTTGCGATGTCGCCGTGAAGTCTCACCGTGCAGAAGGAGCACAATATTGAAAGCCAGTCCAGTTCTGCATCGTCAGTGGACGCACCGATGAGGAACAGATGAAAACTGGCAATGTAACAACGTACACAAATGTCATATTTCCACGGTCCATCTCATCGAGAATGACCTGCATTCCATTGTCCAAGCTCAAGTCTCATGACACCTAGCTACGGTATCTGGTGTGGCTATCTACGCTGCAATTTCCTTGGCATCATTGTAAAGCGGGATCTCGCCAAATTTGCCATCTCCTTGGAGATCCGAGAACCGTTTGGTAGCCTCGTAGGACGGCGCAGCATCCGTGGGAGGCGCGATATACTAGTACATCGTCAGATATATAACATGAACAATTAACACGCATTCTTACCGGAGGTAGATTCTCGAGTTCAAAGCTGCTAGGCGGCGCAGGGAAAGAGACAGCCAGGATCTAAAGGATCCCAGGAGTATGAAATTGACGTTGAGCAATCATCGAGCCTGTAGTTGAGAGGTAAGACCTACAATCCCGTCCCTAAACATACCGGGCATGGTGACTTTCCAGGTGGGAATAACCGCATAGGATGAAGCAGATCGGATATCATCCTTTGCCCAGCGATCAATCATCTTGTTTACTCGCACACGACCCTTTCCAGAACTTGTTTCAGTACACCGAAGTGATAAAGAAACCAGATCAAAATTACCATGTATTTCCAGATAACAATTGGCAAAAACATGACGATCCAAAGACCAACTGTGACACCAAAAGCTATAAGCCTGGCCTGCCAGATGATCTGATTTTGACGGCCCTCGTCGATTCGTTCATCATTAAAATGATGAATGTAGTCGTAGTAAGCCACGATTGGAGCGATAAATGTCAAACTATAGTAGGAAATCAGAGCAAAATAGGGACAAAAAAAGAGACGAGTTTACATCATAGCTATGAACATCCAGGATCTTTCCAGCACTGGTTTGGAATACTGGGAAGCCATGCGCGTGACAGCACGTACACGAGTCTCCCACATATGGGGAGAAACCTAGAAGCAAGTGATGAGCATCTACGAAGTTTCTATATATAAAAGGACCGACATAGTTTTGCAACCCCATAGGAAATAGGGGAGGAGGCTGAGTATGCGATAGTTCCTAGAAGAGATGCCTTAACTATATTTGAGATCAGAGATCGAACTACACACCACCACCACCACCTCATTCTTCCTGGTCTTGGGACTGGACCAAAGGGCTAATGCAGGTCGCATCATGCCATCATACTTGGGAGGACTCAATGCCATTTCAACAGAAGTTAGGACGAATAAGCAAGAGCGAAGTTCAGATAACTGCAATAGATGGTCCCGCAACTTGAATCAAGACTAGCTCGCGATCAATGAGATGGAGGAATAATAGCAAGACTGAGCCTGTCAATCCTGTTACAAGGCCTGCTTGTGAGTGAGAAAGGGAAATAAAGGAGTCAGATCCAGCTCTGGGGGTCAGAGTGAGTTTTGAAGAGCTGCGCTGTGGCTGGCCAATGTAAATATAAGGCGGTGTGTGTCGTGATGGAGCAGTGCCGCAACAAGTAGGACCTTGTTACAAGTCAGTGGACTATCATGATGACGTAAGCTGGATAGCAACGTTGAACAATCCGTCACTGAGGATTCCACAAAAGGCGATTCTTGGCTGTAGTAACAGGCCCCTGTGCAACGTTCTGTACTCATATTGCTGTGGCGGGTCTTTTTGAGCTCATGGGTGGTAACAGTCATTAGCTCACACTGACTACCATTTACTACACTATGAAGATGATAGTCGATGATCTCATGTTTTAGATTTGTTTGGGCTTCGCTATGGGTAGACGGTAAATTGGCAAAGAAAAGTACTTTCGCGTTTCACCCCATCTTTCTTCATCTTTTTGAGCGCTCACATCCACATCACTCCAGACAACATCGTATCCGGCATCGGCAAGGTGCAGTTCCGACAACCGAGTATACACATCATAGAATAGCGCGTCTGTAGATATGTTGAATTCGTAGAAATACAGAATTTGAGCATAAACGCACTGGTTGCGCCCAGGCCATTGAAAAAGCTGAACCTTGATTCAGGACTCGCTAGAAGTTCTCGTAAATGTTTGAAAAAATTATGAAGCTCTTAACGAGAAATCATCAACATTGATGTCCCGTTTTCTGATGACTTGGCCAGTAACTCACCGCTATAGTTTTCTGAGAAGGTGTCCGTATAGATGATATCAAATTTTCCGAATCCTTGAAGGGCCTCGCTAGCAATGCAGTCTTGCCACTTGCCCTCCAATATGCTCACTCCCTTTTTGTCGTACCACCCTTGTTCTTTCATATGAGCGAGAACGTCACGATGAGGCTCTACAATCACATGCAATGCAGGGGGTGTGCTGAGATTTTGGAAGAAATTGTCGATCTGTGTCATCGTTAAAAGAATGCGCTGTTTGACTCAACGCGGTCCTCACTATACCAAGACCAAACCCGACATTAAGGACTTTCAACCCTAGATTTTTCTTTTCGTGATCGATGCATAATTTCTCCACGGTTTTCTGCACTGTTTCGGAAACCACCACATTCGACGTCATACATTACTCAAAGGACTGCACTTACTGATCTCCCGTTCCCATCCCATCATAACGCCCACTTCTTGGCCATCATCGAGGTCAAGCAGGCAAATATCCTGGCCATGGGCATCTTGAGTGTAGCGCAACGTAGATGACAAAAAGGCGTCTATGGATGCGACTGCGGAGTTGTCCACGTCCCGAAGCACAAATGATGACGGAGTGGGATTCAAGGATGTCTGAGACGAAAGTAAGGTCAAAAGCAACTCTGGGGACATCTATGAGCACTCGTCCAAAGTGAAGCCCAAAATACTTCGTGCCTGATCGGATGCCTGCGTCGCGGATTAGGTTGTAACACTCTACATTGTTGAGCGACAATGCAATATCACCAGCAGTATTCTGCAAGCTGTCGACTACACCCTCTACTTAGTCAACGGAGGCATTCCTTGAGTGGCATCTGCCGCACCTGCGTTCCAGATGGCGCCTTCCTCGATGAGTAACTTCACGAGCTGCTCGTTTTCGACGTAGGCGGCGGCATGTAGAGCTGAAGTACCTTCATCGTCTTGATACCACAGTGGTGCTCCAGCGTCTATTAAATCTTGCACGTTTGAAATAGGTTCTTTCTCCAGGATAGCCTGGATGAGTGTTGTCCCCAACTCAGTCAGCGCGATGATCTCGGGGTCATCGACATCGTCAATGATCTCAAAGTCGTCCTCGAACGTCTCACTCATCGAGATGAAGTACGCTTCCAGACTCTTCGTGGAAAGACTCAGAGAAGCCAATGAAGTCAAACCGCTTGCAAGACGATGGGGTAGCAAGGCAGTCAGGCCAGTATTAATGCAAATGCTCCAACGGTAGGACGATCAAATATAATTTAGGGACGAGATAAGATTAATCAGGACAATCAAAAGCAAATACATATAATGCCTAGTAAACTTGGTCAAGTCGTCTCGCTGGACCCGAACCTCCATTATGCATATCTGTCTCTTACCCCCAGAAATTTTACTTCACATTTTCGCTATCTATCAGGAAGACTATGGACCACTGAGCTCTCGCGCTACACTTGCATCCCTGGCAAGGACCTGCAAGATCTTCAAGGAGCCTGCGCTCGACATTCTTTGGAAAGACATAGATGGATTGGAGCCACTCATTTCATGCCTCGTTGCATGCCTCCCCAAAGGGATCAGTGACAAAAATACGCGAGGGACGTTGGTGAGCGAAAAATGTAAAGATCTACGCAATATTGAACACTCAAAATTATCAAATAGACGATCAAAAGACCTCTCTTAAATAGAGAGTGGAGCCTCATCAATCGATACACACAACGTATCCACTCCTTGAGGGTCTTTGCCACTCAGCTAGACACCATAGACAATCGGGTCGTGCAAGCGCTAATTTCTGCGCCATCGCCGCTGTTGCCGAACCTTCATGATTTGTCTTGGCGTGATGACCGAGAATGCTTCATTCCATTGTTGCGCACACTCCTCAGTCCAACTATTACGTTGTTGAAACTGGATAGTAGTTTTTCAAGCTTACCCTCTTTTGCTAAGGCTGCCTTGTTAGCCTCCCTCGGAGCTCGATGTCCATGCATCCGGGAACTCGAGTGCTTTTATGACGGTGTAGATTCTGAAGAAATTACAGATGCAATATGTGAAGCCTTATGTGGCTTGAAGGAGCTTCTCCGTCTTGAAACAGATGTTTTTAACACACGGATACTTCCTCACTTGGCTTTTCTACCGTCATTGGAGTATCTGCATTTCGTCCTGTCAGTATACGACGCCGACGAGCCGCAACCTAATTGCGTCTCGACATTTTCCTCTCATTTCGACCAAGTGCGCTTCACTATACCCACACCTTTCGTTCTCAGTCAATGTCTCAACAACGTCCATTTTCTCTCCTGTCGATCGGTGACGGTGGGCGTGGATTACGATGATACTCCGTACAATCCACTGGATGCTACAGACCTCATAAGCTCTTTCTCGAAGTGCTTCTCTCCTGCTCTTGAGAAGATCCATTTCGAATTCGAATTCCCTTTCAGCAGCATTGTCGAAGAAGACATACTTGCTGACCCCATCTTTGCACTTCACTTTGATGCGATCGCTCCATTGCTGTCATTTAGTCATTTAACAGACTTAGACCTCGATTGGATTTGCGCTTCGGCCGTTGATGATGCTTCACTCAAGACAATGGCCCAATCATGGCCACACCTCGAGAATTTCTCGTTTGGAAGTTCGGCTCGTTGGCTCGTTCCGCCATCTCTCACCTTTGTGGGATTCGTCCACCTCATACACCATTGCCGGCACTTGCATAGCATTGCATTACCCTTTTGCGCATGTCCGGTGGACGCCAACAGCGAGCCTTTTTCTGAAACCATTCCCAATGAGAAGATCACGACACTTTTTGTGGGGGTTTCTCCAATCGTCGATCCCATCTCCGTGGCCTGTCAACTGCATACATTGCTGCCCAAGTTGACCTCCGTGGAGTTCCTTGACTTTGATGCTGAGTTCTTCGTGCCACCGCCGTTTGAACATTTTGAGGGTGAATGGAGGAGGGTGAATGATTTCCTCAAAGTGCTTTTTACAGTTGCAAAAATGAAAAGGAACACCGGTCAAGCACCATTAGCCCATGTTGCAGACTTGACGGACCCTGGACACAATGCGCATTGACTCAGATACCTGCAGGTACACACTGCGAAGCTATACATCCGGAATATTTAATCTACGTCAATGTGAAACTTTTGTTCTGTGTATGTACAGATGTAAATGGAAATGCAATTGCAACTACATTGTCGATCAAGAATCAAGATGGGATCTTGATTTTCTGAAGTGGCGGTTGAGGCTAACTCTCTTCGCAACTGAAGCAGATCTGAACCAAGAAGTCATACATCTGCAAAACACCCCAGTTCTCGCTTAAGTCGCTTAACGTGTCAAAGAAGTCTGATGGGTTACGACTTGCACCCTGAAGCATCCGATTGGTAGAGATGCTCTATAGGTGAGGTAAGTAGTGGAAGATCTGCGATATTTTATCTTGGCCATCTTATCTTCTTAGATAGTGTTATCAATACCAACAATTCATGTTAAACATTGCATGGAAATCTAGTACAGTACACTGCGAGATAAAACGAACTAAGAAGAATCTGTGTGTGACAAATGATACCACTCCTTGTCTGAGAAGTTGTTCAAATAAAAAGTATCGTAGAGCTCCAAACATGTCACAGAAGTAATAGCACGATTAGCACGTACATCATACACAGGAATCAATTCGATTGCATGAGTAACATTGACAAGAGGGAATATCATACCAGCCCTTGCTCGCGTGCCATTGGGGCCAGTTACAAACTGGCGCTTGACGTGGTACATGAAGACTGCAGGATCATCCCAGGGTTGCACGACAATTTCAAAAGGCTGCACATAGATAAATGGCTGAGCAAGTGCAGGAGGCAGTCCCACACCCCTCATTGACAGTCCAAAAATCATCCGGACTTGAGCGATGATATCATCTAGCGGAGCAGTGCATGAGTATGACAAGGCGAATTAGTAGATATTGAAGACTCACCACCGCCCTGCGTTTGCAGTAGTACAATATCACAATTTCCAAGATGGTGGGTGTCAGATGGTGGATACGCCTGTACTTGCTGACTTGGCATCACAAGGAGTGGGCGCAGCGATGAATGTAGCTGAAGACGGAACTTATACCAGACCTTGAGTAGGCGGTTCTGGAAGCGGGAGCTGACTCCATCAACACGCTTGATAAGGGAGCGAAGCTGCTGAGAAAAGTCTGGAAGCATGTAGTGTTGTGTCAAAAAGATGGCTGTCTTATCTGTGAGATCACTAGACACAGTGATGTGAAAGGCTGCGACACTATCATCGGATAGGAGGCCCTTGAGGAAGTGGTTGCGAACTGGTCGAGGGCCTTTGAAACAAGAGAGAGATTCAGGGGTGACACATGCGATCCAAGCAAATGCTGGATCCATGTCGATGACTTCATTGAATTCATTGACAATCAGATTATTGAGGGACGAGTTGGTTGAGCAGAGGAAAGCATAGAGGTCAAATTGACATGTTGAGTCTTCCCAATCTAAAATATGGACGATCTGCTGCGTGAAAGTCAAACACTGGTGACTGGTGCACTCAAAGGGAGTTTTGCAGTGAGTGATCAGCATGCGCTCACTAACATCAGCTGTGTATTGTAGTATGGCGCCGATGTTAGGAATTGCTCAACTAAATGAAGTGAGGAGCTCGAGCTTTGGTATTTGAAAATGGTCGATAGGACCCAAGGCTCCCCTGCGAGCCTCAGCAAGGGTGATTGAGCCTTTGAAACGATGGAACTCTTGGAGTGAAGCATTCATAGTAGAGATCAATGACAGAGTGAATGTGGGGGACTGCGCCTGATAGATGAAATCAATCAATGCACGAACTGCACAAATGAAATTGATGTCAACAACACCTGCAATAGTAGGAACAATTGTGCATTGGATTTCCCGGTGTTCGCAACCAGTCATCTGCACAATGTGTGTGATACCTTGGCTGAAATGGCACATTCCAATGTGTTTATGCTGGCTGCGAAAGCAGGTGTCAAGTTCATTGGCCCCAACAGCCTCCTTGCACCACTTAACAACATGATCGAAAAAAAATTTATGGAGAGTGTGAAGAACATCAGGTGCAAGAAAAAGCGCTGGATCAGAAAAGCGCCAATCACGCCAGAAGGGAAGCTGGACACTGCTCAGTAAAAGCACCTTGGCTTCTTCTTGGAAGTGCTGAACTTTCCAAGGATCCACATGTTGGCAGAGCTTGTGAAGTGCTTCAATTGTAAGATGGCTGGAACAAGGTGGATACAACTTCCCGTCACCAAACTGCAACTGCACGGCCAAAGTCACAGGTGAAGCATTCTTGCTTATGCACGCAATTAACTGTTGCTCAGGGAGGTCCGCTGTGTATGCAACAAGGGGGGTAAATGAGTAATGTAGGTTGCCAACTGGGTCCACCATTTGAGTACCTGTTGCAGCTGCAGATTTGACACCCTGGAATACGATATCCATACACTGATGCCAGACACAGGCTTGCAAGAGCGAGGCAAAGTCTGGGTGACAGACAAATTGTGGAATTGGCATATATGCCACACATGACCAAGCATGTGTGGTAGCTTTCATGTGGATGTCAGATCAAATATTAGCGATGGTTAGGAACATTGGGTGCATCTCAAGTCCACCTGTTTGTCGAGTCACTGGTGTTTTGTCAGAAGCAAGGACTATGGGAATGATAGTGGTGCTGTGGGGAAGCTGGTCCTAAGAACAAGAGAACCAAATCATTAGATTTAGCTTTTAGTAGAAAAAAAAGAAGAAAAACAAACCTGGATATCATGTGCACGCAAAGTAGACATCCATTCACCGAATTCTTGTTCTCCATTGTCATAAATCTTGTATGGGTCGAACTCCATATCATTAGTGAATGCCGGGTTGCCAAAAATGTGCTGTGTAACCTCCAAGGCATCGTACCAGATGAGGTGCACAGGATGAGTCATAATGTAACCTTCAGTCTGGATCGTTGTGCAACACCACTTCGGTCCCTTCGGCAGGGCATCCATGAAAGTGAGCAGTTGCGGGGCTGATTTGTATGCTGGCAGTTTCCATGCTTCTGACCCCACCTAGGAAGTAGTTAGAGGTAATGTAGTACATGGTCGTTAGGCTACTGACCCATGATAACTTCAAGAAACAAGTAATTTGTCCTTGATTAAGATTGTCACTCAGAAATTTTGCCAGCTCCCATTCATCTCTGTCTACGAATGGGTAATACACACTATGTTCCCGGTGAGCTTTGTATTCGTGATTCTTCATGCGCTGGAATGTGTTGGGATGGTCAAAACCATATATAGATCCGGATTCTGGATGATAACATCCATCACGACGCTGACCTGGAGCAGCAGATTGGCGAAATGCAAGTGGCATGGGCATAGCATAGCAGCGTGGATCATCCGTCAGGTGAGTGCACAGGCCTTCCACTGACACGAATTGCATCAAACAGCTGGGACAATTGTAATGACTCTTCCTAGAACATCAATGCAGCAACATTCAGTGCTAGATAACTCAGCACTTACCCTCCCTCCTTAAAAGATGCCTCATCAGAGGTAAAGTCATATGGATCTGGATCTGGCAGCTCCTCGTTTGAATCTGGCAGTCTCTTGTTTGTATTCAAGGTGGATGACATGTGGTCCCCATACAGGTTGATAAGAATCAGCCTGAGGTGCCCAGTGCCAACACTGCAGCTATATAACATGGGGTTGCTATAACATTGAAATGACACGGTCTGTGCGGGGGTCCGTGCCAGCATTCGATGCAGTCCATACAGAGTTGCCAGCCAGTTCAGTGAGTCACTCAGGCAATAATTTGAAAGTCTCGCCAGCAGGTTGTGAGTTACTCAGCCAACAGTTCGAAAATCTCTCTAAGTTCTTCAAACTCTGCCAGGAGCCCACAGGTGTGTAGTACTCACAATAACGGATTCCAAAGTCAAAGCTTTCAAGACTCAATGGTTCAAGCCTGCCGCTGTACCATCATGCTGGATGTTATTACCATGAACCTGCTTTCTCTCAGTAGCCCAACCAGCTCTGCAACTTATGTTGATAGTTCTCCTAGGCAGAAAGCAAGCTGCAAGGTTCATTATCACATGAACCAGCAGTCGACATATTCCTCATCGGATGATGAGGTAGAAGATCTCAGGCGACATCCCACTGGCATGTCACCTAGTACAGAGAACAACTTTAATGTTCCTGCTACCAGCTTTATATCTCATGTATGGTCTTCAAACATATATTTTTGAACATGTTGACTCCATATTTAATAGGCGCCAGAGATTTTAAATGAGTTGAATCTTCCCCCAGATCACCTCAAAGAACTTGTTGCAGCTCAGTTTGCTACCTGTGAGAAGTTCCGCAACCAACTTGTCTCAATGCTGTGGGAGCTTGAGGAATCAAAGAGGTGGACAAAGGTCGTGAAGCGCACTCTCAGCATGGTGCAGAAAGAGCATACCACTGCTCAGTTAGCACTACAAACCTGGCTTCAATCTGTGGAGAAGACACTCAGTGAAACAACTCAGGAACAAACATCCAGCAACTACAGCAAACAGAAGGAGATGTTTTGTTCTGTCCAGGCAAAATATGAGGATCTGGAAGGACTTGCGATCGCTCATGGGATGACAGATCAGGACTTGGCCATGATGGATGACAACTGTCACTCAATGATGAGCGATGATGGCAAGGACAGTTACTCAGCAATGAGCAATGATGAGGACTCTTACCCAAGCACTGGCTGTAATTAATACAAGTTGATACACGTGAGTCAGTTTCTTTTCTAGAAGAATCATGTCACTGATCATTTGTCAGTTGCTTCATCAGGAAGCATATCATTGTTTGTAGATTGATTGTCTGTAGCAGTGTTTCTATGTTTGAAGTTCAATCCAATGTAGCTTCTATCATTGCCTATATTGTCTTGGTCTCTGATTGCCAGGCCTCAAGGTATGGCACATAGTATATGATTTTATTATCTCATCAGGGCGAGTCTCCCACATGTCTTTTGGCATGGCCATTTACGTCTGCATCTGACTGATTATCATCACTCTGTCCTACTGACTGCGACAATGCCCCCCAAGGCTATTTCAAAAAAAAGGCATCCTCAACGCAAAAATGCCAAGGTGAGTCCTACCAATTCTTTCAAAGTTTCACTAACACTACTAATTCTAATCTAGAGTATAAAAAAACCAGGAAGGAACAGCAGAATCAACCCCTCACTGTTATCTGAACAGAGTCAGATCAGCCTCGACATCAAACATACCCAGTGTCCAATAAATTTTGACGAGCTCTTGATGCTCGCAAACAAAGACCCTGATCTTAGCACTGATGATGAGATGGAAGAGTGTGAAGATGATGAAGAGTCCCACTGGTCTTCCCAATACTCCTACTACCAACTTTCTCCACACTACCCACCCCCTCCAAGCCCTTCATTCCCTTCTTCGTGCTATCCATCCCTTTTAAGCTTTGACCAGCCCAAGCACCAGTTCCAGCCCCTTGAACATGAACAGTATGCAACTCCTGGGCCCTCCAATAGGGATGCAAACCCTTCTCCACGTTACATGCCCCTTCTGAGCTTCAGCCAGCCTGGGCATCAGTTCCAGCTCCCTGAGGATGAGTGCTATGCAACTCCTGGACCTTCCAATAGGGATGTGTTCCTTCCTTCATGCTACGCGCCCCCTCCGAGCTTTGGCCAGCCTGGGCATCAGTTCCAGCTCCCTGAGGGTGAGTGCTATACGACTCCTGGGCCCTCCAATAGGGTTCCTAGCACATCATTCAACCCTCCCCTCCCCTCCTTTGACTCTGAACACCACTCTCTATCCAATCCTGCTTGTTCCTTTGTTGAATCTCTCATACCACCCACTATTCGAGAATTAGAACAACCCATGATGACAACCTTTTGAGACATACAGAGATTTCAGGGGCACCATGAAGAGCGTGAATGAGTTCGGTACTCCCACCGCACACATCTCAATTATCCAGGAATTCATAAAGTTTTTGTCTACAACCCTGGCTGTCCAATGGAGGGCCATCGAGGACAGCTTATCTCAACCGGCATTATCAAAGTAAGTCCTCATGCCATCATTCATTTGATTCCACTAACACTAATATTCAGGCTACAAACGAGACTACTGTGTCAGTGCCACTCCCACCTTCATGGGCACTGCCACCTCCCTTTACTCCTCCATCAGCCGCAATGAATCTAGACCCCACTGACCACATGCCTGAAGCTTCAGAACAGCCTAACCCTCCCCAACTCTTGACATTGATGGACCAGAAAGAGGTTATGAAGGAAGCGAAGCAGGTCATGCGGCAAAAAGTCTTACTTGAAAATGCAATGCCAGACACAGCTACCAATATGGCCATGGCTCAAGCAACTCTTTTGGAAGCAGTAAAACGCATAGTCCCCACTGTATCGCCAAACACCTTAGTGCGTATACTACGTCATTATGATACCAGCATCAAGACAATCTGCACCATCATGACAACTGTGTGCACAGCCTTCAAGAAGGAGGTGTGCAATGCAATACTAGTCCCAGGACATTACAATCTCACCCTCCTGCTTGACGACCCAAGATCACAGACTGATCATTGACAGGACACTGTAGCGCCACTTCTAATCAATCAAGTGTATCTTTTTGTAGGTTTGTTTGTTGCCTCTCACAAATATCTACTTATAATGTCCCTACTAGGAAGATCCTAACATACAGTCACCTGTGAACCACCCAGCAGTGATCACAACAATAATTCGTGCTGTGTGGGGAGGTATCCTGCATGAAGCGCTCAATTTTGATGACATCAACACTCTTGACAACTTGGTTACCCTCGGAGGCGCTGCAGTAGGCTCTAGTTTGATGGAGTACGAGGAAGGGGTGCACAAGACTGTTCAGTTTGCACCTGCATCACGGTCTGCGGGTGAGTATGGAGCAATACAGCATCACAACGAAGTTGTTCGTCGTACTCCTGCTTTACATCGCGCCTCGAGAGCCTTGAGGGAAAGCATGATAGCTCGCGGGATGTCTTTGCGGGAGATTAGATAGTGATCATAGTACTATCTAAATGTAAACACGATAAAATGTTTCAATCAATACATTTGGGGCTTCGTAAACTTTGATCTCTAGTGCGAAACTTTCTTGCCCGTTAAGCGACGCTTCAACAGCTTTACTCACTCGGGTAAATCAAAGTCCGCTCGACGAGCGGTTTCAAGTTTTAGATGCTAGAAAAGGCTCCAAGTAAATGAAGCAAAAGAAACAGTGTTGGTTGCAGGGTCGTAATAATGCTCCAGTGTCAGGTCATGATCTAGCATTTGAGAAGGGCTGGTTATCTTACTCATAGGCTACATGGTCGATAAGTTTCGGAGCTCTGCCTCCGACACGGTTGCCCCACTGCGTTTAGTCACTTAGTAGACTTAGACCTCAATGGGATTTATGTTTCGCCTGTCGACAACGCTTCACTCAAAATTCTGGCCTCAGCTCGAGAATTTTCGCCGTTCTTGTTCCCATGTCCACCTGCTACTCGTACACCAGCATTCCACGGTACCTTCCAATCTGTTCTCCAAAGAAAGCAAAAATATCTCACCGCCTGATCACCCAAATTCGTTGCCTCCACTGCCACCAGAGTCCTTATTCACCCCGAATGGCCGAGCACCCGATCGAGGCTTCACGCGTCTCGCCATCGACCATACACTCACTACGCACACACTAACCGGTGCAAAAAAAGACGTACTATCACGCCGGTGAGTCGTCATTGGTTAAATCCAGGATGCAAACTACTCACGCAGTTGGACTCGTAGCAGCCAAAGCAGTCGATATCTTTTAGGCAAAAGAAAGGACAATTCTCGTTGTTAGCCTCACTGGCAGATGTCGATGTGGAAGGCATAGCAGATATTGATACTGTCAAAGCAGCAACAACAGTGAGGACAAAGGAGAAACGCATCGTTTGTGAGGATGTAAAAGAGGATCAAATTAATCTGAGGCGGACAGCAGGAAGACGCCTTGCTTTATATGCTGATTATTGGCTACGGAACCTATCGACCTGAAATCCCCTTTCGAACAGTTGATATCTGCAATGATATTGCCAGCAGTCTGTCAGCGTGGAATAATTTTGCGAACTACCATGCGGGGCACGATCAACTACTTGAATCCAAACATTAACCAGTTAAGGGAGTACAGCCGACCCCTAGCAACGAGTTCCGTCAAAAGAACGGTAGAACATTAATTGATTGAAATCCGCGCGCATTGCTTGCTCTCAAAATCAGGTTCTGTCACAAAGCTTTAGTACTGGCGTTGGAAGACATGCATGGTGACTGAAGAAACAAGCCTAGTCATCCTCGTGAAAAATGATTCGTTGCTCCTGTGCAATTTGGGGTGCTTCCTCGGGTGGAACCTGCTCTGCATCCAAGTCATCCTCTAAACCGACCTTATCGCGTTCCTCAGCATCATCCACCTCCTCTTCGTCGCTCTCCTCCCCAGGTTTCCTAAACACGAGTTCCTTTCCATTCACCAATCGTCTTTTCTTCAATGGAGCTTCTTGCGTGTCATCCTTCCCGTCGCCTTTCTCTGATGGCTTAACTTTTGCTCTTTCCTTCTTCTTTTGTCGCTTGGCTCGGTTTTTGGCTGTCTTGGCTTCAGCTGTATCCTCCGCTTCTTTCCGCCTTCTCTCAAACTCTGCTGTTTCAGATTCCTGCCAGACTTTCAGAACATGTTATGTTTATGGAGCTGGACCACATACTATTCTTGCTTCATCTTCCATCATCTTTAGTCGCTCGTATTCTCTGCGTCTACTGGCCTTGTATACGTGAAACTCGCCACTTCCAGCACCAGCACTTGATCCCTGAACATTCTTCATCATCTCGCGAGCCGGACGAATAGTCTTCTCCTTTGGTGCAGGAGGCACATAAGCAGGCTTCGAGGGATCCTTGAGGAGTCGATCAAGCTGTGACCGCTGGCGTTCGACAGCGGTGAGCACATGACGTCTCCTAGCCTGATCAGGAGCGGGTGAGGCGGAATGTGAAGCCGGTGCGGGAGTGTTTGAAGTTGACATGAACGACTACAAGAGCTTTAGTAAATAGACCACAACAATGTCCTTCCAAGTCTTGTGTTGCAGCACGACTAATGCTATTTGAGCTACCACTAGCTGGAAACTTTATCGACATATGTAGGCACTGAGACTGACTACTACCTATTGTATCATGAAGTCCGTAGGATTGTTTTCTCGTGGCGTTGCGTTTTAACGCGTATAGAGGGCGACCTGAGACCTGAACAAACGAATGTACCTTTGTGATACATGTGATAGTGAATTTACTTTTGAAACATTGAAGAGACCTCTCAATAGATTCGAATACAACATATTGCAATTGTCACTGGTCATACCACTACAAGATTCAAATTAGGGCAACAGACTCGTAACCAAGTGAAAGAACTTACGAAGAACAGCATTTATGCAACCATCGTTCTCAGGATTATTGGTAATCTGAGCATATTTCCCGAACACTACCTTGCCGCCTGTCGTGACCATTCCAAGTTCTGAAACATTGACCTCGATAACAGTGCCTTTCGTCAAAACTCCTAGTTGAGTATACATTGGCGACTGTGGATTCTTCTTGACCCCAAGAATTTGAAGCTGGAAAGTGGCCTTCAGGTCCGCTGCAAGATGGTCAGATCCCCACTTTCGTATACGACAATATATCGAGACTTACGATGTGTAACGTTGGCTTTCTTATATCGAAGTGCCATGGGCCGAACAAATCTCTCCATCTTGACAGGTTTTCTGGTGAATCCCTCCCCAACGAACGTCGCTTTTGTAACCATCCGCTTCCATGATTTGCTTTTGCTCTTCCCCGTCTTCATCACCTTGAACATTTCATCCTCCGCAATCCCCCGGACTTTGGGTAATGGAACCGCAAATTTAGCTGCCTTGTCCTTTCTCTTCTGTTTGATTGCGGATGATAGGGCTTTGGCATCCTTTTGGCCTTCACGGTCGAGCAAATACGTAGGTAATGCACCATCTGGGACGGCAGATGTGTCGGACTGCTTGACATTGCGTTCATCGTGAGCTTTGAGGGTCTTTTTGAGTTGAACCTTTTCTGCGTGACGTTTCGCATGTAGGATCTTGGCCTTGAGACCGAAGGCTTTCTGGGCTACTGCTGATGATTTATGAGCAGCACGAGCCTCCTTTTTACGTCTTGATTCGAGAGCGTTAGCACGGAAGAGTCAGGCTACGACAGAAACCAATCACGCACTTGCGTTCGTAGTAATCTAATCGTCTACCATGTCGTTTAATGTGTTCCTCGATATACTCGTTCTAAAATTGGACATTGACATACGTGAGCCAGATTTTGTTTACAAAATATGGTTTACCTGCGGCTGTTAGCAGAACGGGAGGATGTTAGCATAGTCTAGAATGAGAATTTGAAGAAACTTGCCATGACTGTGACAGACGAAAGGAACTTTGGGACACGCCGGCAATTGCCGTCGGAGCGCGACGAAAGCGTCCGCAGGCGAGACGCACGAGTGACAAGTGCAACGCTGCCGCGAAACGTGGCACGTCATTTACTTCTAGTTCTTTCTGATTTTCCACTTTTCTTTACGACTTAAATATTCATGTGGCAGGACACTGCAAGTCAGTACGGCGCGTCGTCGTCACATAGCCAGTACTATGGTCAGACTCCCCAACAAGGCGTACCCCTTCAATTCTACGCGCCTGGACCAGACCAAGCGCAGTTCTATCCAGGGTCTCGTTCCAGTCTGGAGGGGAACATGGGTGCACATGTGCCAATAGGACAAGGAGGCCCTGCTCCAGCATTTGGAGGGAATATTCAGCAACAACCGGGCGGGTGGTGGACCGCGTTCGGAACTGGTGGTTTTGAAGGAGAGCCACCGTTGCTGGAGGGTAAGCAATTTCCATGAAGATATGTTATTGAATGACAGAACCATGCACGACAGAGTTGGGGATTAACTTCTCTCACATACGTGCCAAGTCTATGACAGTTCTCAATCCCTTAAGACGTGTTGACGAGCGGATAATGGATGATGCAGACCTTGCCGGCCCACTCTTGTTCTTCTTCTGTTTTGGAGTCCTTTTACTACTAGTGAGTTTTATTTTTTGACACAGTGGTAACGCGTCTCATTTGGTGTTGATAGTCGGGGAAGCCTCAGTTTGGATATATATATGGCTTCGGATTGCTTGGCTCCATCTCCATTTACACCTTACTAAATCTCATGTCGGAAAACGGCATCGATGCATATCGTGTGGTATCTGTGCTAGGCTATTGTTTATTGCCAATGGTGGGCGTCGGTGCAATCAGCGTGGTTGTTACATTAGAGTGCGTGATCCATTACTTTGCTCCTAGTCTTCAATTGTCTCACAAGTACCTATTTTATTGTAGCGGTATCCTTGGCTATGTCCTGTCCTTGTTGTCCATCATATGGTGCACTTTCGCTGCTTCCGGGATATTTGTAGCTGTGTTGAGGATGTCGGACCAACGTCTTCTCGTCGCATATCCAGTTGCACTTCTCTACGGGTGCTTTGGCTTACTGAGTGTATTTAATGTTGGCGCAGGAAGCACAGCCAGATAGACACTTGCATTACATTTGTTTTCCCTCCCATAATCATGATACTCTTGGGAAACCCAGATGCCTGTTATACGTTACACAATGAAGTAAATGGAAGAACTAAGTGCTAGTCTTGAAGTATGGTAAGTAGCTTATCTACATTAGTCCCAACTATGTATAGTCGTCACGGTCATAACACAATTTAATTTTGACCTATCCCCTTATCGGTTTTTAGCTGTTTTGAGTATAACTTCAGCAGGGCTTCCATGATTTCCTCCAGAGGAATTGTGGCATATTCATGAACGTATTGCGGAAGAGAATCCTCGAGGTTGAAACCAGCTGTCTTCATGAAGAATGGGTGCATAACATCCGGAGTCGCTTCGCCAAGTTGTCGCATGGTCAGTCGCTCTATCACGCGTTCATGAGCCCTGTATACAACAGCTACAGTTTTCGTGGCGGTAGGGGGTGAAAGCGGTACAGAAGGATCGAGCAGATCTGGTAAGGAACGGGCATGGGAAGTTGACAGCGGTGGGTGTGTGAACAGTTCTAAAGGCAGCTGAGGGGAAACCGCGACAGGTGGTTTGAGACCCAGTGACGGGGCTTTTTCGGGAAATGATGGGCTAGATGTGGAACTCGTTGGACTTGATGCATCTATCTGAGCAACGTCCATGGACGGAGGTGGTTCTGTAACCCCTGCTCTTTTGCGCGATGATGGACCTGCTGTCGCATTGCGCGAGTCCTGGGATCCCTGAACCTGTTCCAGTTCCCTGGTCAAATTCTTGCGAAGACCAGTGAGCCATGAATATAGCGCTACATTGAGTGAGATGTAGATGTCCTCATGCTCCTTGGTGCCCTTGCCTCGCACGAATGAGCTATAGAACTTGTAGTCGATGTACTTGACGAGTTCTTCGACCACCTCGTCGGTGAACATTAGCATATTCATCGCGGGCAGACCCACAATGTTTGCCTCTGTTGGATGCTTGAACAATTGATCCACCCAAGCTTTGTTGTCAGACACTACTATAGTCGACGGGAGAAGTGGCTGAGGCTGACTGAACTTGGAAATAGTCAAGGCCGTGAATGATAAACGGATCTCCCTATGAGGTGGGCTTTCATCTATCACCGTACGCTGCAAGCTTGCATGAACATCACGTCCGATGAACTGCGCGAGCTCGGTGTCACCCATGGTGCGAGGGAAAAGGACAAGCCGAAGGGTCGCCAAGCGGAAGCTCAACTGCTGGCGAATTCTGTGGGACAGCTCCGCGTCTGCTTCCTTGAACCGGTTGCGAGCAGAATGGAAGAATGCCGAAGCGACTTCGGTGAGTGGATTGTCGGGCTTGGGCAATTGCGTAGCACGGAAAGCGGCTGATTCATGACTTGCGCCCTCGCGCTGCGCGGTGATATTGGCCTGGAACTTGTTGGCATACATCAACAACTTCGGTATGGTTGCGATGGTAGCAAGAGCAATGATCTCCTCGCCATTGACTGTGAATGTAAGCAGTAAAAACCGGTCTCGTCCTCTGTCTGCGGAGGAAACGAGTGACCAATCATCATGGATATCCACTTGCACGGGATCAGCCCTGAAGATACTCAAGGATCAGACAAAGATAAGGCGGGACATAATGGTAATAATAACCTGTAAATCAACAGCCGTTGGTGGTCTGACTCGAGCTCGGCACTTAAAGGACCACTAGTCATGCTGAGTTCAAGCATCCTAGCTGTCTGTGAGTCATCAGACAAGGCGCCTTCGTTCCTGCGGATCGTCTGAAAGACACAGTCTGGTACATTCATGTGACCCGCGACGTTTCCCCTGGCAAGGATGGAGACGTTTGCCACTGAGAGCGACACCTCAGTTGACATTTCAGAGAAACGCATTCGCGTAACTGCGCTCTGGAGATCCAGAGTCACACTGCTGATGGACTGTCCCAAATCTACCTCCAAGTGGATTTGGCGAATGCGAATTATGAGTACAGTAGTGACCTCTTGTTTCACCACAGGAGTAGTAACCGAGGAGGAAGAGGCTGTTGGCGGGCGTGATCTGTCAGAGCTTGCATGCTCTGCGACAAACAAAGGGATACGATCGAGCCAAACCGCCTTGAAACATAAAACATCTTGCAAGCGGGAGAAACGCACACCGCCAGAAATATCTGTATCCACCGCCAGGGAAATCGTGCTGTCGATATTGCCAGCACGATCCTCATTCTTGGCAAAAGCAAGGAAGAATGCCAGATTGCGAGCTGCAATATTGACACAGTCGTCGCTCAAAAACCCGTGCTTGAGGCCAATCGTGAGACCGTCCACAGTGCCCGTCAATGTCAGATTGTGAGCACCCGGTGAGATGCTTATAAGAAAACCGCCACTTTCCCAGCGTAAAGCTGCTGCTACATTGACATCCGGCTGACAAGTTAATTCGAGCGTTGACTTGTCTATGCGGAGACTGAAGGTGATTTGCAAACTCGATGATGCCTCGGATAGATTCTCTAAGCGGCTCGAAGTCAGCAGCAGGGATGGTTCCTCTTCTGCGGGAGATGGCGCAATGAGTAGTGTGTTTCCTCGGCTAGTTTTGCGCAAGCGCAACTGCACGTAATCGACGATTTCGGTTATGAAAGGCAGAAGACTCGGTCTCAAAGTGTTTTGGCTAGAATGAATGGTGCTTTTGAATATCAGGGCTGCAGGGCCGGCTCGTGTACCTGAAGCACGATATTCAACCAAAGCAGAGATTACAGGAAGCTTCAGTGTCTCCTGCTCTGGACACATCTGACCGTCCAACGATTGCTGAGTACCCAGAGGCGAGGCCTGTGCACTTTTTGCATCGCTATAAACGTGCACTTCTCCGCTCTGGAAAACCATGTTTGCAAAAACACTCGACGCCGGAACATCTTGGTGTCCGACTCGCGGTGAGATATCGTCTCCCGCAAGGTCAGCGTGCGATGTAGTAGTACGAGGGAGGCTTGCGGCGATGCGGATCATTCGTTCTCTTCCTTGACGGTACACATCAATGAGCGAGAATATGTAATCAGGGATGTTTGAGTCCAAGTCCAGGATGAACCCACTGACGTCTCCAAAGAGCCAGATATGACGACTGAGCAAAGAAGTCTCGGATCGTAGCCGCGCAGTCATGTAGGGGTACACCAGTCGGTTTCGGCTTCTATGCTTGTCTGCTGCAAAGTCTTCAGACGAAGATTGCCTGAAACTAAGGCGCCACGATGATGAATAAGTGTGGTGAGCTCGCTGGAGCGCCACTAAGTCTTACCTGGGCACAAATAGGAAGGATAAGTCTTTAGTTGACATCTCGCCCGCTTCTCCCCTCTGTGCGCTAAACTTGATGCGTCGAACAGCGAACAGGAAAGCCCTGACTGAAGGGCCGTCACGGGAACTCGTCCGGGGAAGCTCCAGCGTTTGTTCAAGGCTGAGGGGGAAAGCCACTCCAATCTTCTGAATGACTACATCTATGGTATGTTCGCTAAACCAAGAGGGCTTTTGGTCACGAGTGGCCTCGCTCGTTCTCACATCGAACGTTTTCAAAACACTACGAGTCTTTTCCTTGAATGCTGCCAACTCTGCGGCTCGCTGATCTCTCCGAATAAGCAATTCAGCCTGGAAAACGTTTGAGCAACAAAGTCAATGTAGAAGATGATGTCGTACTTGTTGATGGTCTAAGAAGTCACCAATTTCTCCTATAGAACTGGGTTGCATCACAGCATGGATCTTTGGGATGCGGAATTCCAATCTGTGGACATCTCCCCTGGCACGAAGATCCACGATAAGAAACGCGGATCGATGGTTCCGATTGAAGGTAGTTTCTCGTGACACAACGCCCGCTCTAGGTGCAAGCGACAAAGCCAGGTCACAAAGCCTGATTCGCCATGCAATACCCAAATCGTTGCTGGAGATATCCCCACTAACATCTTCACATTCTAGATAGGAGGTGGAGGAGCGACCTTCAAGTCCAAGTCTAAACCCCTTCACGTTGACATGTCCACTGAATGATAGAGAGGGTCGTGATGTATTCGATGTCGATTCAGGCGGATTAGACCTTCGTTGGCGAGTTTGGTGTATCAGGTCCATCAAGTCAGCGAAATCTTGACCGAACTTCTGTTGGACGACGAGAAGCGTATCCCAATGTGAAGGCTTGATTAAAACATCAAAGAAGTCCACAGAAGCAATCATTTTGACAAAGGAGCGGCCGTGGCGTCCTGTCAATGAGAGCGAAGGGAGCTTGACTTTGATGCGCGGCGTATCCGTATGATCATCAGTGGACTGTAGTTTGTATGAAACGCCCAACGTTTGCGAACCAAATTGGATGCCAAAGGACGTGGACGATTTAGGTCCTGATCCACTTGGCGAGGAAAGGAATATGGTCAGATAGTGTATGTTCCATGACAACCACGTCCCTCGCATGACCTGAAGAGACACGCCAAATTCTGAGATGCGTCCCGTAACATGGGTCACTAGTGCGTTCCTCTTGGCAGCGCGGGAGCGAGTCAGTGTTGTCTGTGCATCATCTCCCCCCCCTTCCTTCAACTCTGCTAGAAAGGCTCGTGTGGCTGCTTCAACGCCTGGAAGGAAGTCCGCTTGCCACTCTTCCACGAAACGGTAAAGACGAAGGGCGCTGCGAGGTACGGAAATAGCGGTACTGCATAAGAGGAACGCGAGACGGATAGTACTCGCGGATGATTCCTGGCGCCAAAGCAAGTTGAGCTTGCCAGAAGAAAAGGTCAAGGAAGCGAGAATATCCTGATGCCGGGCCCAAATTCCTGGGGCAATGCCGGTAGCCCTCGCACGTATGAAGGCGTCGCTGAAGCTAGCAGTGTAACTGACAGAGTGAATCTCATTGTGCATCAATGGATCGACCCGTTTGAGTGATGTGAAAAAGATGTCTGTATTCGTGGCCCCGATCTCGAATGCAAGTTTTTCAGCTGCGGCGCGGATGCTAACGCGGCGGAGAGCAACCGTGAAAATAAGGTGAGACGGCCCAGAGTTTGGAAGTGCTTGGTTGGAGACTGGCTTCCATTTACTCGATACCCTCCGTAGGCGAAGTACGGATTGTGCGAAGACCATCAAGTG